TCTCTAAAACTTATAAAAAGGATTTGTGGTGTCGTGGGACACCGGATAGGAACGAAGTTCCTTATTATAAAAATATTAATTTTAAGTTCTATTCGAGGTATAAAGAAAATAATTATTCGGATATACATTTTTTATTATGATTTTTTTATTGATAAAAATAATAAAAAAACTACTTTACAAAGGTATCAACTTTATTTTATTCACAATGATTTATAAAAAAAAATATAATAAAATAATATACAAAGAAACAGCTATTTATATGAATAATAACCGTCATCACGTAGACATTAGACACTGTATAGCCATCATACTAAGACTATACATAAATAATAAAAATCTTACGTTACGGACGTTTTTACCCGGTTAGGGTACCCCTCCGCATCGTCCCATAAGGAACGTCGTTCCAAAAAAATTTCAAAAATTTCAAACTTACTAATTAATGAGCATTCAGATTTTTTTCAAGATATATTTTATCAACTACTTCAAGAAATCAACTAAATCTTTTCACAACCTAAGATTTGTTCGTGTAAAATTATTTGAAAAACTAAAAGAAAACATGCATTGATTTAAAGTTAGTGCCACATCGGATCTGCTTTATAAACATTGATAATGTTGTTGAACAGTTGTGAACATCTGTCCCTTGGCTATTAAATCTTATGTAACAATTTAATAGTCCTTAAACCAACAGGAAAGTAAACAATGCGTGGACATAGGAATAGATGCCAACCCTACGTGCTTCGAGCTCGTACGCACACATATCCACACGTGAAGTCGCATATGTGTGTAGGGATAAATATAACTATTCTGTAATACATAGATGTGGATAAAATTTGGATGTGGCATTATCACACATGTTTCTAATTTAACATTATTTTTGGTTGAAGTTCAGATTTCGTTTAATATTTGTCAAGTTTTTGATACGTTTTGGAATTTTTGGAAATTAAATTATCGATAATTTTGGAGAGGCAAGGCGTAATATAAGTACCAATCCTTAAGAAAGCTGTGATCCGACTAAAAGTATTCAAAATATTCTTTATCGTATCTCAGGGAATTGTTGTCAAGAAACTATGAAAAAATATGCCAGTGCTGTTGATTTTTGACACAATAAACATACAATTTATAAATGTAATTCAAAAATAATAAAACAACAATAAAAATGGTAGGCAGCGGCTTGGCTCCGCCCCTGGCATTGCTGACGTCCATGAGCGACGGTGACCACTTACCATCAGGTGGGCCGTATGCTCATCTGCCTACAAAGGCAATAAAAAACAAATAAAAAAAAAACTAAATAAAATACTAGAAAACGAACTCAAGCTTTACCACATCCAATTTTTGTTAATGAACGGCCGCCCAATATCATACATCTCCGTTCGGCTCAGTCGGTCCCGATGCTGCACACAGTGCTTTGCTGTCGTAAGGTCTCTGCGCACATCCAATAACACACACACAACACGTTGTCATTACAATGTGTAAATAAATAACATTAACAAAATCCATGTAGAATTTCTGCGTATTTTTCCATAATTTTCCATCAGGCCTTGTGTAAATATGTAGTGTAGTTTTGTGATGTTCGTTTGGACTTACGTTAAGGGGTTCGTCGGTATGGGGCTGCCCGATTTGACGGTGAGTTTAATGTATTTTCGGTTGTGAAGTGCATTGGTTTTTCGAAGGGCGCCAGATTGAGCTCTTTGTGATCCCTTCCATGATTTATTTTCATCCACACTTAGCTTCCTTTGTGAGATCGTAATTGAAAAACAAAATAACTTATGCAGATATCTCCTTTGTTTGCTCATACATTATTAGGTACGGTTTTTTTAATTGTATAGTATTCATTGGGTATGTAAATTGTTTTCTTATAAAAAGGTACATATCTGTGCAATAGTAACGTTGCTTTTATAGACATTAGTTACATAAATATACATTCCATATTTTGTCTACAAATTTGTCAATTTGTATCTGAGAACACTATTTTGTAGGAATCAATTCTTAATACAATATTTTGATGATAAAGATTATACTCGTATGAACATATTTTGTTACGGATGTCGGTATGGCAATTGCTACGTGAGCTTTTAGCGTTAGCTCGACTTTATTCTCTTCTTCTTCTCTTTCCACCAAAAGTGTACGAAAGGTCAGCAAATACAAAGTAAATTAAATTAGCAGTAAAATTACAGAAGCTGTGTAAGTTGTTAATAAATATACTAGGTTTGTAGATTCTTGTCGTAATGCGCAGATCATTTTTGTGCTAATTTTCTAGAGACAAAAGAGTTTGATGTGCATTCCAAAACTTGTTTTAGGGTTCAAAGTTATCATCACACTTTTGATTTAAGTGCAGGGTCTAGTGGTGAGTGTAGATGGTAACTGTACCAAGGAACACGATTTTCTGTCGGAGCCGGCATCTTTATGAATGATATTGACTTAAGGGATCTGAGTGTAAGGTTAGGTTGCCGTATAGTTTCCATTCCCTGTGATTTTAGGCTCTTCAAGCACCGGTCACCGTCCTCGTCGACACCGACGAAGAGTGAAAACTAGCCCATAGACATAACCCACTGACTTACTCGCTGTATCTTCACAGTGGGTCGCGGTTTCGATCCGGTAGTAAGCACTGCTATTGCTAGGACTACTTACTAATTCTCTCAGGTTGAGCCCGTGAGCTCACCTACCGGTCTGCGCGAAGTTGGAATAGCCCCTTAGGCTACAAAAGATTAGTTAGGGAAAAAAAAATTGCCTTACACCTGAAATATAGTGAGTGAACCTTTTCTATATAAAATTGACATTCAGACGACTATTGCGCAAATGCTTAACTGACAATATCACGTAAATTAGTGGGCATTGAAACCAATTGAAACATAAAGCATTTTTTTATTGCACGTTGAGTCGTTCCTATGATATCAAATTGGTATCACGAATTTAAATCGTGACCTGTGCAACGTTTTGGATATGATGTTTTTTATCATTGACAAATACACTTGATGTACTTTTACCTGATTATTTCTGATGAATAGCGCTGGTGAGCAGCTTCAGGAACAAAGCTTAAGTTACGACCAAAGGAATTAGACATGGTCGTTACTTTGGATTATAGTCCAAATACCTCAAACACAAGTTAAATTATATCTACCTTTAAAATTATTGTCCGTACTGGACGCCTGTATTATTCGCAAAACAAAAGCGCAAAATATTATTCTAAAAATAATGCAGCTCAGTATTTGCAACCAGATGAGTAGTTAAAGGACTCACTAATGGCTTGATTTGACGTAAAATAAAACTCCGCCAAACAAAATTACTAGTATATAAATTAATATATTTGTCGATAAAACTTACTTGTTTTACTGGTGGTAGGACCTCTTGTGAGTCCGCACGGGTAGGTACCACCGTCCCGCCTATTTCTGCCGTGAAGCAGTAATAATGCGTTTCGGTTTGAAGGGTGGGGCAGCCGTTGTGACAATACTGAGACCTTAGAACTATATCTCAAGATGTGTGGCGCATTTACGTTGTAGATGTCTATGGGCTCCAGTAATCACTTAACACCAGGTGGGCAGTGAGCTCGTCCACACATCTAAGCAATAAAAAAAAATCTTTATTTATTGTACATTGACATTTAGTTTAGATTATGGACGAACAGGATTTGTTGTTTAGCTTAACACAGAAACAAAAATGCGATTATAATGGAAGGAGCATTTAATTCATGAAACTCTCTGTGACCTCCTAACGTGTTAAGCAAAACGAGGTCGCGTTGATAAAATTAGCGGCCCGCTGACTAACGCTGTGAACTTTACGTTCGGGATACGGCAGACGTGAAACTGACCAGGTCGCGTGACCGATTGTGTGTTGTATCTCTGACGGAACCTGCTTCCGATCCGGTCCGATAATCACCACACCGATATCAAACGTAAAAAGTTTATCGAGCGATGTCCAAACATCTCTTCTTCAATCTATGTCCACCTAATGCTGAGCGTAGGTCTCTTCATAAGCACTTTAAGCACTCTATTCTTTTCGGTCTCTTGTCTCTCATGATCAATAGAGCAAGACTGATAGTGATCGCGGTGATTGTATCATCATCACTACATAATATAAAACAAAGTCGCTTTCTCTGTCCCTATATACCTATGTATGCTTAAATCTTTAAAACTACGCAACGGATTTTGATGCGGTTTTTTTTAATAGATAGAGTGATTGAAAAGGAAGGTTTACATGTATATGTAATAACATCCATTAAATAGTGGAGACATCAATAATAAATTACAGTTTCCGAAGCGAAGCGAGGGCGGGTCGCTAGTATGATATACTTCAGAGAATTGATGATGTATATTAGATATGTTAGCGCCTTTTTAATTTGGGAAAACCTAAATATGAAATAAGATTAATTTATGTGACGTAGAGAATTTCATAACACAAGGAGCTGTTAACAAATGCATGTGACTAGGAGATTTATGGAAATGGTATTGCAAGGTAGAGGGGGATGAGGTCAACCGAAGAAGACATGGATGGAGTGTGTGAATGACGATATGAGAGACAGAGGAGTGAATGTTGCGATGACGGCTGATAGAAGAGAATGGAAGAGAAAAAATTGTTGTGCCGACCCCACCTAGTGGGATAAGGTGGAGAAAAAGAAAGAAGGAAATGAATACAAAGGAACATTTAAATAAAACCATTTTAATCCTTATAGCGTATCCTCTTTCATTTTTTTATTGCCCGTGTAAGCAGACGAATATACGGCCCACCTGATGGTGAGTGGTTACTGTCGCCCATGGACTTTAGAAATGCCAGGGGCAGAGCCAAGCTGCTACCTACCGAAAATGTGTTGCACAGAGTATAGGGCAACATGTATGCTATGTTATATATGATATGTGAGTATGGAGAACCGCTGTCAAGGCTGTCAATAAACAAGAATTCCACACGACCACGACTGCTCTGCCAAAAGTAATCGACTATGAGTATATGGCAAACGGGCCTGTAGCTCGAACCGTTTTAAATCCCCTCGTTTGTGTGGTGTCGAGCAGGAGGTTCGCGCGGAACGCGATGTCCTCCAGGCGCGGATGTCGGAGCAGGCGCTCAAGATATCGTCGCTGTCGGCGCGCCTCCAGCAGCAGCGGAACGACGCCGAGGCGCTCTCCCACCAGGCCACCAGCCAGCTCTCCGTGCAACTGCACGATGCACTCGCCGAGGTGACTGCCACGCCGCACTCTGCACCCAACCAACTTACATAAATGATCTTTGTATAGTGCAATATGTGGGTTTGACCAATCGCAGACATCCCATTTACATGACTGATCAGGTGGTACAGATGTTAGGGCCCCTGACTATCGGACCGAGGGTCGTGGGTTCGATTCCCACATCAGGCAAACATTTGTGTGTTAAATTTTTTGCTCTTTGTTTGGATTTCTCATGTCTATAAATAAGTGTGTATAACAGTCTCTAGTTCCCGTAATACAGATAATCCTGACTTGGGGTTAGACGAACGTATGTGACTTGTTTGTCGTTTTTCTTGTCGTTTTTCGTGGTCACGGCCGATTGAAAGTAGTAAACGCGAGATTAAACTGCAGTACAGCGGTTTTAATTTAAAAAGTACGGGTTGAATTTGATATGTGTGTTGATATGAATGTAATTTGTCCTTCTAGTGTTAAATACAAAATATTTATTAGGTACAAAGACTCAAAGAAGAAATGGAGAGCAAGGACAAACAGTTGGTCAGGCTGAGGCAGAATTTAGAAGAACGTGATAGACTCAACGAGCAACACCATTCACTCTACGGTAACTCGTGTAAGTCAATACGTCGAGATAATGTGGTCCCCCTCACCCCCCCTGGACCCTCGTCCCCATGGTCCCTCTCGTCCCCACTGTCCCTCTAGTCCCCGTAGCCCCTCGCCCCCACGGTCGCTCTCGTCCCCATAGTCTCCGTCGTCCCCCGGTTTCTCATCCCCATGGTCCCTCGTCTCCATGGTTCCCGTCGTCCCCATGATTCCCGTCGTCCTCACGGTCTCCCTGGCCCCCTTGGTTCCCTCATCTCATCCCCCTGGTCCGTCGTCCCTATGGCCCCTCTCGTCGCACCGGGCGTCTAGTGGGTATGTGTAGAGTTACAACATTTGGAATGTTTAATTTTCATTTAATCTATTTATAATTATCATGTATCGGATAAACAGTAAATTATACCGTGGTTGCCATTGCATCATCACTTTTAGTGCTTAGCTTATTTTGACATATTTTGCAGATATTGTTAATGGATAATTGAAAAAAAGCACCTTATAAAAAATTTTAAATTCAAAAAAATTAAAAGAATATAAATTCATAGTAAATAATGTTAAATAATTATTTATAAATGTTATTAACTTATTAAAAATGTTATATCTGTGCGCGCTAAGACACGGCCGTACCACAGTAATATCTATCTAACTGCGCAAATTGTCGATATTCCGACCCTCCGCACTTTGTGCGCACAAATAGACAGTCGATCTATTGACGGTTCGCGTTCAGTTTAATATGACAATTCATTTAGTAACATTTTCTTGTCTATGGTTATAGGTGTACGTATTTATTATACTGATATATTTAAATATTGAATATGTAAATTTTCCCCAACAGGTAACCCTAAAGACAAAGTGATAATACTGGAGCGTGAGCTGTCGGATGCGCAGAGCCGCATCGCGCAGCTGGAGACCCTGGCGCGAGACCTCCAGCGGGACAACGAGCAGCTGCAGGCCGCCGCGCGGGACCAGCAGCAACACCTGCAGCAGCTGCTCGGTGAGCTGTCTGGGGCGCTGGGGGCCACCATCAGTTTTTTTTTGACGTGACAACGTCTTTTAATTCAATGGAGCCTACAGCACGCACGAAAAAACATGACTCATGCGGCGTTACCTCCCCCTGAGACGTTCCATTTAAGGCTTGAAGTGCAAGCGAGAGCGCGCAACGAGCGACAAAGAGGCACAATCGGCCTCCGCGTTCGGCCGCGTTCGACATCTGTCTCTCTCCTACTTGAGTGAGCGATGCATCCGCGTGGACAGCTGCTATACAATAATACATTTGCATGTTTTCATTCATTCATGTTTCAATTATTTATAGCAACGATAATTGCGATAGTTGAAAAATGAAATCATTCCATCAGTATTTTCTTATGACGTTGTCCCGTTCAACTATCGTCAGTAAGTCGACTTTACAAACAACCGTGTTTTTTTTATTGCTTAGATGGGTGGACGAGTTCACAGCCCACCTGGTGTTAAGTGGTTACTGGAGCCCATAGACATATCCAAAAGGTAAATGCGCCACCCACCTTGAGATATAAGTTTTAAGGTCTCAGGTATAGTTACAACAGCTGCCCCACCCTTCAAACCGAAACGCATTGCTGCTTCACGGCAGAAAAAAGCTGGGTGGTGGTACCTACCCGCGCGGACTCATAAGAGGTCTACCACCAGTAACTACGCAAATTAAAATTTTTGCGGGTTTGATTTTTATTACACGATGTTATTCCTTCACCGTGGGAGTCAATCGTGAACATTTGTTGAGTACGTTTTTCATTGGAAGAATTGGTACCCGCCTGAGATTCGAACACCGGTGCATCGCTCAACACGAATGCACCGGACGTCTTATCCTTTAGGCCGCGACGACTTACCTAATTATTTATGTGATACTCGTAAATTCAGATTCGCCTAAAGACAAGTCTAGCGTCGCTCGAACCAAACGTACATTTGGAATAAATCCAACTTCCTCTAGTTTATTTGGGTTACGGCGATATTCGTCTACCTCGGCCCATACAAGTATGATTCATAACCGCCGGTTAACTGTTGCAGCTCTAAAATTAGACGCAAACAACCAGGAGGACGAAAACGGTCCGGCCGACGTCAAGACATCGGCTAGAACATTGAGCGACATCGTCTCCATATCCGACTTCGACGAGCAGGACCTGCAGATGCGGAGAGCTGAATCGAAGGGCCACAACCTTAGTCTGGGCGAGCCCCCCTACGCCCCCCACGCCCCCCCCGGTCCCCCCGCGCACGACCGCACGCTGCCCCCGGAGGGCGAGCGCCCCCACATGAGCTCGTTGCATCTGGAGTGCTCGGAGCAGCTGGACCTCCCTGCCCACACCCCCCGCGCGGACTCCCTGCCCGCGCACCTCACGTCCACGCAGAACAAAGATATGTTGAAGCAATATAAAAGGAACGCTAATGAAATCACATTGTTCGGCGACTTTAAACATTCGACCCAGAAAATACCCGATAATTGTTCAATGTACCCCAACAGGGACGTCAGCGACAGCAAAAATTTTAGCGTCGAACCAAAAAAAATTAACTTCTCAATTGAACCGACCGCGGACAACCGAGACGAGGAGGAGTTCACTTCGCTGCGGGAACTCGGGGTATATCTCGACACGAAGCAGCAGTGCTACCCCGACATCCTCACACAGCTGAAGCACGAAATCAAAAAATCTAGATCTGAATTAGAAAAGTGTAGATCTGAACTGAAAAATGCTGAAGAACAACTGTGCGAGTTTCCCGCGCTCAAACAGGAGGTGGAGCAGCTCAAGGGGCTCCTGGACAACACCGTGGCCGCCATGGACAACGACAAAAAGTTCTACGAAAATCAACTCGAGAGCTTCTCGGCGAACAAACAGCTTCTCGAGCAGAGACTCACGGAGCTGAGTCAAGACGTACACGACAAGTCCAAGGATCTGCACTTGCTCAAGGAAGACATACTCAGGAGAGAAAACATGATATTGGAACTGGCGAAAGAAAAGCGAAATCTGATGAACAAAATGGCCGAACTTGAACTTAAAATAGACGAGCTCCAGGCCAAAAATACTTTACTAGAGAAATGCGAAGCGGAGAACTTGGAGATGAGAGAGAAGATGACGGAACTGACGAGGCTGGAGCAGCTCGTCAACGATAAAAACCAGCAGATCGACAGCCTCAACCAGCACCTGGACAGGCTGGACGACCTGCAGCGCCGCCTGCGCGACAAGTCCCAGCAGCACGACAGCCTCCAGCGCGCGCTGGCCGACAAGAGCGACGAGCTGGCCCGCCTCGCCGCCGCGCTGCACGCCCTGCGCCGCGACGCCGCCGACGCAGACCAGCTCCGGCTGCAGCTCTCTAAACTAGAAAAGGACCAGGAGAATGCCTTATTGAAACTACAGAACACTCAAACTGAGCTCGAGCGAGTCAACTCTCTCAACCAAGAGATGTCGCTGAAGATTCAAGACATGAAGTCACTCACGGACCAATTAAAAGATAAAGAAACTGAAATAGAAATTCTTAACGAGGACATTTCTGCGTTTCACGATGAAATAGCGTCGTTGAAAGACCAATTGAAGATGGCCTCCCGCAGCCCCTCGCCGCGGAAGGCCCCCGACGACCGGAGGGACGACCGGCCGGCTCGCTCCGACAAGAGGCAGCTCACCAAGATCAGGAAGCAGATATCGTTGTTGCAACACGAGCTGGACTTTAACAAGAAGGAATTGAACGATAAGGTAAAGTTTGTTTAGTCAACATGACAATTGTCGATATATAACTCAGTTGGAGTCTCCGGTCACTGACTGGTGTCGCTTATGTCAATATTGTCATTTTCTAAATACAAGTTGAAATGCTCAAAATAGATACGGAATATAGTTAAAGAAACTGTTGTCTCGTTCATTTAACCATTTCTCCCCACACAGGCGTTCGAGCTAGCGAAAGCGAAATTGGATATAACGGAACTCAAAAACAACTTGAGTCAAGCGGACAAACAGGTGTCGGACGCCGCCGCCGACCGCGAGCTCAGCGCGCAACGACACCACCAACTGCGCCACGACCTGCTGCACGCGCTGCAGGAGAAGCAGCAGCTGGCCGAGCAATTAGAGCTCGTACTGTCTAGGTGAGTAGGGCCATTGTCGAGTGACGCGCGGGGGGACTGTGCGGGGGCTTCGGCTACTTAACCAATGTAGACCTTGTGGCGGCTCACTTACCCGCCACTACTTGGGCAACCGCCTTATAATTCGACAAAATCGCTGTCGCTTATGAATTGAGGCAATCATACATTATTGTTGTTCAACACTTCGGAATCTTAAAAAACTGAGGGCAGTACATATCGATATTCGCTGTGTTACCCCATGGTTCGTGTCAGTGCCTTTATTACTCCTATATGTTCGTTCTTTTTCATACCACTTGTGTTATAGTTTGTTTAGTATATTTCTATCTTCAAAAAACTATTCAAAGCAGTACATATTCATACTCACTGTGTAAACCATCCTTTGTGTCAGCGCCTAGTGTCGGTAGGCAGCGGCTTGACTCTGCCCCTGGCATTGCTGAAGTCCATGGCCGACGGTAACCACTCACCATCAGCTGGGCAGTATGCTCGTCTGCCTACAAGAGCAATAAAAAAAAAGCCTACCCAATACAGTTAGAAGCAGCAATACTACTACAGCTTCTACAACCTTATATGTTCATCAGTACCTTATACTGACAGCATAGCCCGACGCCCGTCTCGGTACTATAGTGTTTTATCGCACTGTTCTATCCGGGCTTCAGTAGCGTAGATATGCAGACCCTACCGTATTCCTGCTGCATCAGCTCTCCCGTAACCTTATCCGTACCGTACCTCATTACTATTCCCACTCACTCAATCAGTTCGTCTCCATCCTTCGCCGCGTTCGCGCCTATCACTTTTTATTAAATCCAGTGCGAATTATAATTTAGTTTTTTTTTAAAAGAAATTCACATTCTCCCGTAAAACAGCACGCATTCGTTCTAGGTTACGCGAGGAGTCAGATGTTGAAGAATTAAAGGCTAAATTGAGGCAGCAAGTGGAGAGGTGTCACGAGCTGGAGGCCGAGCTGCAGGACATCAGGGAGCTCGCCGACAGGTCGGTGTTGTGGTCCGTGGGCTCAGCCGCCCGGACCACTCGCGCTGGTGCTTTACTGTATCTAAGGATACGACCTCGACACAAGTTCACGAGTGACTTCCTCGCAACGTCGTATAAGAAAACATCAAATCGAAAAAAAAATGATTTGTATAATTACTAGTGGTAGAGGATCTTGTAAGCCCGCACGGATGGGAACCACCACCCTGCCTATTTGTGCCGTGAAGCAGTAATGCATTCCGGTGTGAAGGGTGGGGCAGCCGTTGTACTGTAACTGAAACTGAAGCTTAAAGCTCATGTCTCAGAGTAAGTGGCGGCATTTACGTTGTTGGTGTGTATGGACTCCGGTAACCACTTAACATTAGATGGCCTCTGAGCTCATTTATCAATCTATGAAATATACAAACAAGTTGTGTTGTACTTGTTGTTTTAGTGATTACATATTTAGCGTGAGCTTTAATCTTCTCCCAATGCCCCGCGTGACGCTGCAAGGAACTGTTTTGTACCTGACGCACGTCCAACGACGTGCAGCATAGATTTCTAAGTATTGATAATAGTGTTAAGAATTTGTCAGAATTCTGTAACACCCCTGGTGGCGTTGACCACATGCTTGTCTTTGAGTATAAACTTGCATTTCTGCTCATTACTTAAAAATGCTAAGCAGCAAAGCTTTGAGTGTTCATACACGTCGAGGGTCTCGCGCGGGGACCTCTAACCGAACCTCGCGATCGGCCGAGATGATAATAATATTTGAATCTGCTTAATGAAAACATCAGTGTGTCGGAGCCGCTACACGCGGTATCGGATATCTGCTACTGTGGTCACGTTAAAATGCTATCTCAGGTCTACCGGTCCCGACGGGGGGTCAGGAGGGGGGTCGGGGGACAGAGCGCGGTCCCCCACGGCGGAGCTGGAGCGAGCGGTGCGGCTGCAGCTGTCCTACTCGCACGCACTCGACCACACCATCATGGATCAGGTACACGCGCGTACACATGAGTTTCATTCCTATGTTATAGATTCGTTTTTCGCAGTAATACTGTTTCATATATATCATCACCTTAATGTTTAAAATAGATGTGTTCAGTGATTCTGTCGGCGCTAAGTTTGGAATAATTTAACTTTTGCATTACATCTGGTTCTTTTGATCGTAGTGAGATAAGGTATACATAATATATTAATTTCAAGTCAAATCATAAGCTATGAGTCTTCCTTCATAATTGGATCTAGAATAATTGTCATTTATGTACACCCTCGCGATAATGGAACGTTGGTCGACAGATCCTGTCTGCCAGCAGCGACGAGCACGAGCCCGTGCCGCGCCTGGCGCTCGCCGCCTCCGAGTGAGTGCAACGCTGTCACGTTCGCCCCCTCTCACAGCACGCCCCCCACAGTGTCCCCCCAGCGCCCCCCACAACACGCCCCCCATAGCGCGACCCCCACAGTGCCCCCCACAGCGACCCCTCACTACAGTTTGTTGTGATCTTGATAAGAGACCACGAAGGTTTCAAAATGCGACCAAATCATTTAATAGCCAAATTACATTTAACGCTAATCGAATCTTCAACCTGATGTCGCGGTGCGGCCGGCGGTGTCGCGCTCCTGTAGCAATGTGTGCGTGTGCTGTGCAGGTCGAGCTCGGCCCGCTCGTCGCGCTCGGAGCGGGAGCGGGAGCGGGAGCGGGTGGCGGTGCTGGAGGAGCGGCTGCGGGACAAGGACGCGCTCATCGCTGAACTCAACAGGTGCGACACGCGCAACTATACCCAAGCGCTAGTCTGGCGCCGATGTCCGACACGCAGTAAGCGAGGTCCACTGTACGCTCGGTGTCCGCAGGGTGCGGGAGCAGCTGGAGCGCGACTGGCAGACGGCCCGGCTGCGCTACGAGGCCGAGCGGGAGAACTCGGGCCGGCTGCAGCTGCTGCTCGACACGCAGAAGGAGACCGCTCTGACGCTGCAGGTACCGGTGTAAAGTGCTTTCTAATAAACTTTTTACTGGTGGTAGGATCTCTTCGGAGTCTGCTGCCGTGAAGCAGTAATGCGTTTCGGTTTGAAGGGTGGGGCAGCCGTTGTAACTATACTTGAGACCTTAGAACTTATGTCTCAAGGTGGATGGCGCATTTACGTTGTAGATGTCTATGGGCTCCAGGAACTTCTTAACACCATGTGGGCTGTGAGCTGGTCCACCCATCTAGGCAATAAAAAAAACAATAATACTCTCACCCGAAACGATTGGTTTTGTTAAAAGCATAAAGCAGCAGTGTCGGCGCATCGGTGGCCGCACAACGCTCCACACTGGCGGACACTAACTTTACGTGCATGTGATCATTTTCTCTTCTCCAAATGATTCATTATCAATGAAATGATCACTTTGCTTAATGATAAAATTGTATTCTGCAGAAGCAAGACTCCAACATGATCGAGATCCTCAAGAAGCGCTTGGAGAGCGCCATGCACGCGGAGCCGCCGCCGCGCTCACCGCCGCAGGTCAGGCTTATTTTTTTTTAAGGGATTTTATGACTTGGTAGCTAAGACCTTTAAATCATGTCTTATTTTAATTTATATACTTATTTTTATGAAAAATGATAATATGGAGTGAAATGAAATGAAGATGATTAATTTGAGACATTAATCAACTGGGATGAAATCAAATGAGATGAGATGATATGAGATGAAATATAATCTTAATAAAACGGTGGTCATTTACTAGGATTTTTTAAATGAGATGATATGAGATGAAATATAATCTTAATAAAACGGTGGTCATTTACTAGGATTTTTTCAGTGGACTTTTTGAAGGATCCCGAGAAGTTGCGTCCAGAGGCTTTGTTTCATTTCCCCACATTTGTGCACTTTCACAGATATTAAACAGTTAATAAACCACCGGTATTACACATTTAAACCTGAAGAAACACTAAATAGACAAAATAAAACAAATTACACAACTTCACTCCTCGCATTCCCGCCAAAAAGTCCAGGTCAGGCTTAGCATAAACATTACCATAGATTATGGTGTAGAAAATACATGTAGTTAATGGATAGGCTAATATCTATATGAGTGTTAGACCCCCTACACCAGTTGTGCGTTAATGATGGGAATCTTTGTGGGAATGAGAAATAATAATGTTAAATTTAATTGCCCAGAGAAGTGGATGGGTACAGCTAGTTAAATCTTAATATTTATATTTAGCATGGTTTTATCAGTTTGATCAGCTCTATCTTTATACCGGTCAATGCGTCCTCGTCGCACGCACGCGGCCCAGTGTGCGCGGTGCCGAGTCGCGATACATTTGGATATACTGTTGCAGAGCGAGGGCGAGGAGCGCTGGAAGGGCGAGGTCCTGCTACTGAAGTCGAAGCTGCAGCTGGAGCGCGACAAGCTGTCCGACCAGCTAGCCATGTGGGAGCGGGACAAGCTGCACAAGCAGCGGGAGCTGGACGCCAAGAACGAGGTCTGCAACACGCTCAGGAACGAACTCGCACACATCAAGCGGTAAGCGCGCCGTGACCGTCCAGCGGTGACGTCACCGATTGCTCAGCGACTCAATGCGATCTCGCACGATCCAGGCGCTCGCACGACTCCAGCCTCGAGCTGCTCCGCGCCAGGGAGCTGGCGGCCGCGCAGGCCAGGACCATCGACACGCTGGAGCGGAGACTGGACGCCTGCGAGCGGCTCCGGCCCGTGGACGACGCGCTGGTGAGCACTCGCGTGTACACCCTTCAACACCTGGGTCAAAAGAAAATTACCAACAAAAATGTACAAATGTTTTGCTTCACAACAGTCGGAAATCGAGATCCACAAGATAGAGCTGACCCGCGAGATGTCCTCACTGAAGAAGTGTTTGTCGGACAGCATCCGCCCCGCCGACACCCCCGCGCCGCACCAGCTCGTGAGTATTCCCCTGCGACCCCCGGTGGCCCCCCGACGCCCCCCGGTGGCCCCCGACGCCCCCCGGCGGCCCCCGGTGCCACAGCGCGAGGGGCCGGGCACGGACTATTTGATAACGTCTATCTAAAGTTATGATTATAAAATAAGATTTATAGTTACAGATTATTTAGCTAAATTATATCACGCGTAGGAAATTATGTAGTTCTGTTATGAAATACCCACATAAAGGGTGAAAACGGAACTATTTTATTTGCAAACTTATTGAACTGCCCCAGAGCTGTTTTATATGAAACTTAGATTAAATAAACAAATCATCAACCGGGTTGGTTGGTAAAAAAAATTAGCAATTTAATACTTTTAAAATTAAAATGAATAGTAGCATGTTTTTTTTTTTTTTATTGCTTAGATGGGTGGACGAGCTCACAGCCCACCTGGTGTTAAATGGTTACTGGAGCCCATAGACACCTACAACGTAAATGCGCCACCCACCTTGCCCGGCTTTTTTAATTACTGCTGTACTCTAGCGCGCAGCAGACATTGCTCAATGGAGAGAGAGTTTCGTTCATCTAAAGAACGTCGTACATCACTTAAATTGCCGCGCTGTTGATTTGACAACTTTTTGACTTCGCCGATGTATGGTATCCGATGGGTCCTTCTTGAAGGCGTAAGAATTTAACATGGATCACCAAAGAACGTAGTAGTATAGAATTTGGATTGTATTTGACTATAGCCAACGCGTCTCCACTACAACTTTCTGTAATATCGTGAAGTGCTTGGCTCCCGTTCGCCGCTGAGATACCACTGAGGAACTTACGCCGCGCGGCTAAGTACCCCTACCATTTGCGCATCGTATAATTTGAACCCACTTACAATCCCGCACATGGTATAGGTATTTACTCGCCCCACCAGATGCCCCGTTGGGCTTAGAGCTGTGCAACTTAAAACAGAAGCTGATTGCGATATCAGAAACTAACGGTGTCTGCAACATCCTTCAGATCAACGTCGTGCTGGAATGTCCAAGTGACCGAAAGCGCGTCTAGGGCATCATTGTGTGTCAGCACTATATCAGGCTGACAGGTCCGACACTGTTTAGAATAGCAATCCCCAATTTTCACATTTCCGCCACCATACTTAATGTAACTTTTTTGTACTCTTCGGCTAGATAAGGTGACTTTCTCCGTTTAGATACACGCAGAGCATTTAAAGCAGTTTCAGTACGTGGTAAACTGCTTCACGGTCTACAGTCATTTTTCGTAATAAGCATTCTTAATTATATGACCATCGCTGTAGTATACACATACAATGACTCCATCCGCTAAATGCTATGTATTAGTACGGGATAAGTACGGGGAGTGGGATGAAGTGGGGAGGGACATAGGTTGACAATAAAGTTATTAAATGTAACCTTTTTGAATTTTCTTTATTCAATGAAAACGGAAAATACTACAACAAAAATTTAGTAACAAATAGAACCCATGTTGAAATCTCACAAGCTTGTACTCGGGCGGTCGGTGAGAGTGTCTGCGCAGCCCTGCCTCTCGTCGGCGGAGAGGGGCTCCACGGCCCACAGCGCCAGCGCGTGCAGCGCGTACAGGGCGAGGTACAGCGCGTACAGCGCGGCGGTGAGCAGGGCCAGGCCGGCCGGGTACAGCCGCGGCTCGTCCTGCCGCCGCCACCACTCCTCGGTCCACTTACGGAAGTACTGGCACGCGTTCCTGAACGTTGGACACGAAATATTAGTGTTGGTCGTCCATGACATGCAAGAGTTAGAGTGATATCTTTCATCCCACGAAAGCCGCCGCTTTCACCGGCACTCACGTTTCGTTAGTCGTCGTGGTCTAAAAAAACGTCCGGTGCATTCGTATTCCGATGCACGCAGGCGGTTACCAATTTTTCCAATAGAATACGCACTTAACATATTATTATGTTCACAATTGACTTCCACGGTGAAAGAATAACGTCGTGTAATAAAAACCAAACCCACAAAATTATAATGGTGGTAGAACGTTTTGTGAGTCCACATGGGTAGGCACAACCACCCTGCCTATTTCTGCCGTGAAGCAGTAATGCTTTTCGGTTTTAAGGGTGGGCAGCCGTTGTACTGTAAAAACTGAGATTTAGAACTCAAAATAGGTGGCGGCATTTAGGTTGTAGAAGTCTATGGACTCCGGTAACCACTTAAGCTCGTCTACCCACCTAAGCAATAAAAAAAAACGCCGTTGTCTATGGTTTCTGGTACGCACGTACCTCTACGTGTGTGTGGCGTCGTTTGGTCGATAACAAACCTGAGAGCGGGCAGCGCGGCGTCGAGCGCGGCGACGAGCGCGTGCAGCGCGTGCGTGAGCAGCACCACGAGCGCGCACACTGCCAGCAGGTAGGGGGGCCAGCGCCCGCTGCCCGCCGCCGCTGTGCGCAGTCACACCGGGGCCGAATTAATTTCATCATGAAAATCCACCAAACACATTCAGTCAAGAAAGTACAAGAAAAGAAAGATGATTTGTTTATGGGTCAAAATAATCGTTTTTTTTTTATTGCTTAGATGAGTGGACGAGCTCACAGCCTGCATGGTGTTAAGTGGTTACTGGAGCCCATAGACATCTACGACGTAAATGCGCCACCCACCTTGAGTTCTAAGGTCTCAGTATAGTTACAAAGGCTGCCCCACCCTTCAAACCGAAACGCATTACTGCTTCACTGCAGAAATATGCGGGGTGGTGGTACCTACCCGTGCGAACTCACAAGAGGTCCTACCACCATGTTCCATTTTGTTGCGGAGTTTGTGTTGCATCTGTTATTTAGATTAATACAGTGTCGTTTTGAGTTGTATCACATCTAATGTATATTGCGAATTTCATAATGGACAAAAACATCGACCAAATATTTATTTTTTCCCTACCTTTTCGCTGGTAGGCTAAGAGGCTATTCCAGCTACACCCCCGGACGGGTAGGTGCGCTCACGGGCTCAACCTGAGAGAATTTGCTAACACTGGACCTAACAAGGGCAGTGTTTCATAGAATCCACCACCGGATCAGAATCGCGACCCACTGAGAAGATTCGGCGAGAAACTCAGCGGGCTCACCAATAGAATTTCGTGTTCAGAGTCACTAGAAATGTTACAGAAAGCTAATGGTGAATCGACTTTATAAAAAAAAAAAGTGTGTGTGTCCGCTCCGACGCACGACTGGAGTTTACTGGATATAAAAAATTAAACGAAACAATACGAGAAATAGTTCTATATTACGACAACACGATACACTACAGATTATTAACAAATTAACGAGACACAAAACAAACGACTAACAAATATATGAAAATACAATAATGAGAGAAACGCGCGATCAGTACGAGGCTTTGTGGCGGACTGCCGGCGCAGCAGCCCGGCGTCACCTGCAATAACGCGGCCGCGCGTTGGCTCCTGATTGGCGCGCGCACGCATCACGCAATCAGGAGCCAATCAGGCGCATAACGCATTTCGTGTGACATGCTAGTACGATTTTGATTGGCGCGCGCACGCATCACGCAATCAGGAGCCAATCAGGCGCATAACGCATTTCGTGTGACATGCTAGTACGATTTTGGTCCCCATAATTTTCATACCCCGGGCCTATATATGTAAATCGATTCTAAAGGAGTAAACTCCAAAAAAGGCTTATGAGTGGTACACAGCGGTCAATAGCAGTCGAGATATGATGGAAGATTTTCCTTGCATCTTACCAGATTTAGTTGCAGCCGTTCATGAGACTAAAGTAAACATAGCAAAAGTGAAAGAAATAGTGACTGAAAATTCTCATTCAACTTTGAGAGAGAACTTTAGGCCGCCGAACTTACTGTCTCTCGAGTCGACCCGTACAATTGTAAATGATCATTTGGATATGAAACGTGTTTCCGCTCGGCTAGTCACAAAGGACCACAATTTTGTCCAAAAACTCAATCGCATGAGTCGCCATGCTAGAATGAGTCGATTCTAGTGACGAGACGTGTGTTCACGAGCTTGACATGCAAACTAATCAACAAGCTTCGTGGCGCCTTCCAACTGATCGGAAACCACGCCAAAGTCGATAAAAAAACAGTCATGTTGACTATTTTCTTGTAACTATAGCGGTGTTATGCAGTGGGAATGATTGCCCAAAGGTCAATGGGAACGGTAAATAAAGAATATTGATTGATCGTTATGTGGCATTTGAGATAGCAAATTAGACGAAAAAGGCCAGATTTGTGGAAAAGAAATTCTTGGATTTTGCACCACGATTATGCGTTTTTGCAAAGGGCCATTATTGTGAACCAATTTTTGAACAAAAACTCACTAAATACTATCATCTAGCACACTAAATACTTATTCACCAGATATGGCTCCAGCCGACTTTTTTGTTTTTCCTAAAATCAAATTACTATTTCGTACCACCCGTCGATTTAAACGATTGAAGACATAAAATAAAAACTAAACTCAATTCCGGAAAAGGCGTTGAAAAATGTTTTCATGATTGAATCATTCATTGGCGTAAGTGTATCGTTTTTGGAGGAGCATACTTTGTAGGTGATAAAATAAACTTGGATGAATATCCTAACGTTTTGTGTATTATTGATATTTTCCGGGTACTTTCTTGACAGAGTACTACACTCTATTTTTACGTAGCTCTTACACGGAATCTGCTAGACGCGGTTTCTGATGACATACTAACAACACTATTCAAATATCATTTAGGATCTATGAGGGAACACATCCCATAGATGCCGTTCGGATTGTCGATAATCCCATTCTCACGGATCGTTTGGAACCTGCGGAGGGACTTCAGTTCTTTCTGTATTTTGTACCATATATTCCATCGTTTTTATCATCGCACCGCCCGCCACCGGAGTAGAATTCATTCATACTACCTGGAGCCACTGCGGTCATCCACAGTGTTTCCAGACATCTTTTTTGCCACGTACCATTCGGCTTTGAAATGAGCTCCCCTCCACGGTGTTTCCCGAGCGCTATGACTTGTCCTTCTTCAAACGAGACTTGTGAAGAGTATTTATACGGTAGGCAGCGGCTTGGCTCTGCCCATGAGTTTGCTGACGGCTATGAGCGACGGTAACCACTCACCATCAGGTGGACCGTATGATCGTCTGCCTATACGGCAATAAAAAAAATGCACTCCTTTCGTATCTGACCACAGCCCGCAGACTGTAGAGTGGCAAACAAGTCGTTCAGGTACCTTGTATGAGGGCCCCGTTGCTTATCGCGGCCCCGGTGCTGTGCACAAGGTCGGTAGAGCGCGCGCGTCGGCCGGCCCGCAACAGGCGCAGCGCGTGCTCTGACGCTGAGCGCGCCGGCCCCCCGCCGCCCGCGCGCTCGCTGCGGGACGGCTGCGTCGCGCGACCACATGCCACACGAAATAATATAATATCAACTTGAAAAATTGCTATGATTGACACCAGTTTGACAAAATCAAACCCGCAAAATTATTATTTGCGTAATTACTGGTGGTAGGACCTCTTGTGAGTCCGCACGGGAAGCAGTAATGCGTTTCGGTTTGAAGGGTGGGGCAGCTATACTTGAGACCTTAAGACTTATCTCAAGGTGGGTGGTACATTTACGTCGTAGATGTCTATGGGCTCCAGTAACCACTTAACACCAGGTGGGCTGTGAGCTCATCCACCCATCTAAGCAATAAAAAAAAAACCAGCCTATAGCTTCTTATTTCATTCCCCACCAGCATACAAACGGTGGTGGTCATAAGCCTTCTCAAAGATTGAATTTAGTTTCCATCAAACGTAATCATATAACATCGTTCTTGTTAGTCTTTATTGCGTGTGAAGTAATGATATTAAAAAAAAATATGCTGTTCGAATAGAGATGCTGTGGTTGTGCAATTCTTAGGCCCCTTCCTAATTGACTCAGTGTTTAAGCCAATTGACCCAAAAATTGATATAGATATCAAAGATATTATCAATGTAACTAAATTTACTCCCGTTCAAAATAATACGCACTGTGGGCGATAGTTTCGCACACGACGTGGAGCTCTTCTCCCTAATCTTGTCAGCTTCTTCAGGCTTCGGTTCCTTCGCGTTCAACTCCGTCTTGGTGAAGGAGGAATGGTCTCCACACATGCTGAAGGAAATCATGGAAATTATAGTTTAATCCAGCGAGTGACCGTAAATTTTTTAACACCTAAAAATTCTAGTACAAAAGATGGCAAAAATAAAAGGGCAAAAATCAATCAAATTGCAAGACGCAAGGTCGATGCCGAGCAAAAAATGTTTTCAGTTTCATTAATGTTTTCATGTATTAAAACATTTAAGGAAAGTAATAAAATTTAATGAAACTAATTTACAGTACTCACATCATACTCGGGAGCTTGAAATTTTCGTTTTTAACTTGTTCCATGATTTTATTTTGTTATTTAACTAAATCGTTTTCATTGTTTCAAATTCAAAGATGTATTATAAAAAAATAATGAAATTTCCGCGGAATTCATGCGTATAAATTCCAAAAATATCATGACACCATCAAAACGTGTTCTATTTTTGATCGAGAATAAATTGACAGATACCTAGTTAAGATTTTTTCGTGTTCTGAACTGATGTGAACATCAAAAAGTTGTTATTGTGGGCGATGTGAATATTTATCGCTTGTAATCTGTCTTCCGCTCGTAAGTGCAAAGTCGCTTCATTACGGAACATGTGCGACAAATATATAAATATTTAGGACGCTTAAATAAAAGGGGCTGTAAATCTATACTTCTTACTATAATATTATAAAGAGGAAAGATTTGTTTGTTTGTTTGCATTGAATAGACTCCGAAACTACTGAATCGATTTAAAAAAATCTTGACATAGGCTATAATATTTTTGGAAAAAAAGTAGGGATCCTTACGAGAACTCCAATAATGTAACCCAAGGTGTAAAAAAATTACCGAAAATATTCTTTACATCGCGTGCCCTGCGAAAACTATTGATGACAGAATAATATAATGTACTACGACTTTGTAGAACACATTATTATTTACAAACAATGTCGCGACAGCATATGTCTAACTATTATAGTTATGCCGCAATAAGTGTTCTTTTATTTTAAAAATAAAACAACGTCAAAAATCGTTGAAATTTTTGTTAAAGACCCGAGCGGAGCCGGAGCGGGCCGCTACAAAATAATAAAATGTTTATTTTACGCACGCACGCATTTTTTTTATTTTTTATTTCCTTTGTAGGCAGACTAGCATACGGTCCACCTGATGGTGAGTGGTTACCGTCGCCCATGGACTTCAGCAATGCCAGGGGCAGAGCCAAGCCGCTGCCTACCACAAATAAATAGCACGCACATATAAATAGTTTGTTATTGTGTCATATTAATATAATATAAAACTTTTTTGCTGTGTAAGACAAATTATACCCAAACTATTTAGGCTTAGCAAAGTTAGTATACGAGTCCAGTCAGTAAAAAACGATCTGAACGAACTCGGTCTGATTTTTCAGATCCGCTGTCTCCACAGTCGTTGTATCCGCCTGGAGAGCATCCGCAAAGCTCTGATCTGGCAGAAGCGGTACCTTCAGCGGACACTGCACGGCTACGTCCAGCTCGAGAGGACGCTGCGGCTGCCCTCGTCCGGCGCCGCCCGGGTCAGCACCGGCAAGGAACGGTTCAAGTAAGTTTTATTCAGTCCCTTCGATGGAAGGACCACTTCAAAAAAATCATGTAAATTTACTTGAAGTGGGAAATGATACTGTATTGGTTTCACTTGAAGTCGTAAAAAATGTCTAGGACTTTATTGTCGGATGATGAGGATGATGGCCGATTTGATGTGACGTCATCGTAATGACAATTTGAATCAATGAAGCTCACAAAATCAGTATTGCCGTAATTCGTTGCAATTGTCGTAATGAAATTGTGCACTTTCAAATCGACGTCGGGTGAAGAACTGGGGGAAGAATATATTTTGATTGGAAGTTGGAGAGCGATGCTTAAACAGGAAACGTGAGACATATTGATTTATCATTCCCAATATTCTGCCTTTCGTTCTGACTGTTGTCACTCGTCTGTGCTGACGATTGTTATCGGCCATGTATGTACCGCTACGGTATAATATTCGCAACGTCAAGCGTGCGCTGAGCGTCCTAGAGCCCGCTGCACATGTGGTGCCGTCAATACGCGGGGGGCACTCAGACGTGGTGGTGGCTACAGAGTCCGTGTGGGTACAGGTGCGCCGTGTGGGCGGTGGTGGGCGCCGTGCGGCTGCAGTACCTGGTGCGTCGCCGAAACGCGCGCGCCTCCGCCGCCGCCGCGCTGCTGCTCGACACGTACGTACACACACGAACCCACAGCTGCTCATAGTAGTACTAACCAGAACTCTATCTACATGTCTTAGCAACTCCCATATGTAATTGTAAGAACTAGTGGTCCCTTTTTAAATTATATGTTTGTATAGGTATTATTATGATGTTATTGTCAAAGGTGCTTCTATAATCAAAGATTTCGCCAAGACTACACTTTAGACAATAAAAAAAAGTATATTACTCTATTCTCAATTTGACCACAGACATTAAGAAACAGAGCATTAAGAAAAGCTTGGCAATAAACAAATAGTATTATGCATGCGTGTGCGTGTGTCAAATACATGTAATTTGTATAATGTTTTTTATTGATTTAAAGTATTTTTTATGCATAATTTAAAAAACATTCTGCACTCCTCTATATTCTTTATAAGTGTGGGAAATTTCATACTCCTCCGTCCGCGCAATTTTCGTTATAGGGGGTACAAAGTTTTTGCTTTACGTGTTAATATATAGATTCTAAAGTAACCTTATATTTTGAACAGTGGTTTGCCGTGCATGTTGATGCATACAAAATTAAATTTAAATTTAAAAGGCTATGTATTGTTTTTTTTTTTTAAAGTTGGGTTGGTAGTTAAATAATGACTAAAGGAAGACCCATCTTATGTCATCATAACAACGTGGTTACTGCAACTCACCCAGAGACCCGAGTTAAAAAACTTAATTATATATTGCGTGACGAATGTCCCCATCTGCAACTTTATTTCAATTAAAAAATTAATTAAGTATTTCACTTTTATAACAAATTAAAGACATGAGTGGATGAAGGGGATATGATATGACGGAACATTAACCTCCGTATTGTTTTTAAAAAGTGTGACGTCAGCATTGCTGACGTCACAGTTATTACTTTCATGATGATGACTCATGTCGGGCTTCTGAACGAAAACTTCACGAGAACTTCACGAACACTGTTTATATTTCGCTACAAGCGTAACAACTTTCCGGAGAGATCCGTACTGTCCTACGGCTCGAACACGAATGAATCGTCGTCGGCAGAGCGGCCGGTATTTATAGTGATTTTTGCAAATCAACACGTGTTTGAGTTTTTAGGTTAAGTAATGAAAAAACACGTGGTGATTATAAATCACGTGTTGTTTTACATTACAATGAGTGTCATTACATCACAACTGATTCTAAACAGTTCTTATGTAACTAAAAGTGATTCTTTTAAATGCGTGAATCATCCATCGCGCCGATAGATACAATTTGTTAATTTTGAGAAAACAACCAACAAACTTTTGTCACTTGTACTTTTTCTTCGAACATAACTCCTCCATCACATGCAATTTCTAAAAATAGCCTTTAAACACGGAGTTTTAAGGTCTAACATGGTTTATAGGTACATAATACCTTTATTCAATGTAAAACTGTTAAAATTTTAAAAATTGTACTAAACCCCTTCATCCGCTCATGTCTTCAATTAATCTTTTGAATAAATATCGTTAGGCATTGCCGTGCGTGTCCATAAACGATAATGACAGCCACTCCTGTAAGGAGGGTCGTATGGTCGTTTGTACAAATTTTCTTCGATATTCGCGACTCGTACATACGTATATCTTTATGGTTTAATCTCGCGTTAATTATTATTGACAATAAAAACACGAGATTAGATTGTAAAAGTACTTTTAATTTCATCAAAATAAGCACACTGCATCAATAAAGACGAATATATTTACAGTCCCGTGCAGCAGCGGCGCCCCCCCTCCGCGACCCCCGCAGCCCCTGCACGTGAGTATTCAGTCACGTTCACGCTCCAGTTAGATTAGAATGTCATCATCCGCTCTGGATTATGTTCTGGCTGTATGGACTAAAGTCCTTTGTCTTTCCCATTAGGGATAAATTAATAATATCATCATGATCTGGATTATGTCCATACTCGATAATATTTTTTTAAATAACAAACCGGTAACATGGTAACTTAGAGAAGCTGATAGTAGTTGGTCGGGTTGACGGGAGAAGATCACGCGGACGCTCACCTACCCGCTGGTCTGATCTGGTAAAGACGCTCACCCGCCTGCCAGTATCCGAGGCTATAAAGACCGCCGAGGACAGGAAGGCGTGGAGAAGTGTGGTGCATCGAGTGGTCAACGTTTCAAACTAGACACGGCCTTCAGCCTTCGAAGTCGTCGTGGCCTAAAGGATAAGACGTCCGGTGCATTCATGTTGAGCGATGCACCGGTGTTCGAATCCCAGGCGAGTACCAACTTTTTTAATGAAATACGTACTCAACAAATGTTCACGATTGACTTCCACGGTGAAGGAATAACATCGTGTAATAAAAATCAAACACGCAAAATTATAATTTGCATAATTACTGGCGGTAGGACCTCTTGTGAGTCCGCACGGGTCCCACCTATTTCTGCCGTGAAGCAGTAATGCGTTTCGGTTTGAAGGGTGGAGCAGCCGTTGTAAATATTCTGAGATCTTTATAACCCATATCTTATGGTGGGTGGGTACATTTACATTGTAGATGTCTATGGGTTCCAGTAACTACATAACACCAGGTGGGCTGTGAGCTCGTTCATAGAAGCCACAAAAAACAAAATTTAATTGTTTGTTGACAGTGAGCGAGTTCAACAGGAGGATGCAGTGCCCCGGCAGCTCCCCGCGCAGCGAGCCCTTCGTGCTGAGGTACGTTGTCGTGTGCATCCCTTTGTCTCTAGAACATCATCGTGTATAAAATAATAAACACTGTCCTGAGATATCAACATAATTTTGTGTTTGATAAAATAATTGCATCATTAAAATAAATAATAATTAAAAAAAAGTGTGGGGTGCATGTTTTTTTTTTTATTGCTTTTATGGGTGGACAAGCTCACAGCCCACCTGATGTTAAGTGGTTACTGGAGCCCATAGACATCTACAACGTAAATGCGCCACCCACCTCGAGATATAAGTTCTAAGGTCTCAGTATAGTTACAACGGCTGCCCCGCCCTTCAAACCGAAACGCATTACTGCTTCACGGCGGAAATAGGCGGAGTGATGGTACCTACCCGTGTGGACTCTCAAGAGGTCCTACCACCAGTAATTACGAAAATTATAATTTTGCGGGATTGATTTTTATTACACAATGTTATTCCTTCACCGTGGAAGTCAATCATTAACATTTGTTGAGTACGTATTTCATTAGAAAAATTGGTAACTCGCCTGCGGGATTCGAACACCGCTGCATCATACGAATGCACCGGACGTCTTATCCTTTAAGCCACGACGACTTCATACGACTTCATATATACTTGGTATCAGTAGTTATAAATATTTTATGAACAGATATGAGTAGAAGGGTTATTTTGACAATATCCTGAAAAGCACCCCACGCTTTTTTTTACAATAAAATCATTTTTTCTGACACTATTTTTAATTTTAATTTATTAAAATTTATTTTCTATTTTTTAGTTTGATTTTCTGTAAAAGCGTATTTTGTTAGTTTTTTTAAATATTATTTATTTTTAATTTTTTAGTTGAATTTCAGTTTTTTCAATATATTTTTTTATATTGAATTGTCATCGGTCCTTAATTAGTATACCAAATTGCGAGTTAATCCGACGTTTTGAAGGGGGTCAAAATCATGTTTAAAGATTCCTTTACAAACATACATACGTCTGAAGCTAATAAAAGCGTATTAAAAATTCTGGTTTATGGTTTACGTAATGATCGATTAAGGTTTGAAGGTGACAGCTGCTCTACTGCATGCTCTGATCAGATAAGCAATAAATAAATAAATGTTCTATGGCGCTCGACAAGGGGCTGGCGGGTCGGCCGCTCCTCCCAACAGTGCAACTGAATTCCGGTGCACCTCGCGAGACACAATCATTAATGAAAATTCAATTGCCCAGTTCACCTCGTGGTGAAATGGCGGCGGCCTACCTCAACAAGCTGGAGGCGGTCAGCCGGTGCCTCAACCAGACCCTCAGACCTGCGGACCGCACGTGACCCGCAGACCTCAACACGCGTGCGCCGTACGTGACATCCACAACTGTCAAGTGTCAACGTTGACATTACTGTGTTAGTCTGACGTGGCCTTCGGTGATATTAATGCCTTATAGAATTAAACGAGCAAAGTTGCACAAATAATGCCGACTAGCGCTAGTGTCGCTAGTGTTGCACTGTATGAAAAGTACAAAATATCCCAAATAAATAAGTAATACGGAACCCACCATATCAAGCCAAGGCGATGACTAGTTTTAGATATTGCGTAATATATTTAAATGTTTTTTTTAAATGCAGGGTAAAATTTAAAAACTTTCTATTTTCTTCCGTTGATTTTTTTTTTTAAAGTTGGCAACTCTCGAGCATTTTTTTAACTTAAGAATTTTGTTTCGGCAACAAAACGCGGTTTTAATTCTCTTTTTCGTGTTAAGTATTAGATTAGTGCCAAAACGTATATGTATAATAATAATAATATATAATAGTTACATGTGTTAATAATTTTTAGTTTAAAATTATTATTTATGGAATACGTCGGAGAATGTAAATTGTTTGTTTTCGTTCATCGCTCCGCCTATTCATAGTTTTTATTGTATATAAAACGAAATTTATTTTAAGTATTCAAATATAGCACGGAGATATTTATTGTATTAGACTTGACGGAAGGGTTGTCCGCCCAGTCCCGAGCTGGTGCGGAGTGAACTCCCTCCACAGTTACGTTAGAGTGTGATTGAATGACAATTTTAAATTTAAGTTTCTGTGTTAGATTATATAGGACGTGGAAAGAAACAATTAGTACCCGACAATTAGGAGAAAGTAAAATTACCAAGTGTTTGTATGTAAATATTGTAAATTACTTTGATTAATTTTCATTGCGTATTTTTTCTGTAATCTCTATAATACTTTAGTTTGTCTTCTGACGTCGGGCCGCTGACACGAAGCGCCCTTCCCGACTAATGAATAGATCTAATGAATGAATAGAATAGAAAAACAAAACTCACGATTGCCATTGTTTTAGTTTTAAGAACGACATCGATTTATATTATTGTTAATTTAGTTTTTAATACAACGAGAGTACAAGCTAGATGTTAGGTTAGATTAAGAAGGGATTTTTGATCAAAATTTAATTTAATAAGAATTAGTTGTCGAAGCGACCGCCGGCTCCAAAAATGTATCTAAATACTAGATAATCTGATGGACTAAGTATTGGTTTCCCACGACCCACCGACGACTGACGTCCGATACGATTATAATTTTGATCACAAAATCCGTATGAAAATGCCATTTAAGTATATAAAGACGACACGACACGACGACACGACTCGACGACACGATCGAACTACCCTCGTATTCAGTTAATATTTGATTATCGACAAGCGCGTACGTGAACTACACTTAATGTTATGAGCTTTTGTAAAATTATTTACTGTTGCATTCCCGGTGTACCGGAACCGGCTGAGACTCCGTCGGCAGGAGAGACTAGCCGCACATTGTAAGATGAACATATTGTACAGGCTTCATTAAGTCTCAATTTAAAAAAAATATATATAATTTTTAAAGCAATAAATGAAAAATGTAAGGAACACTGCCCACACAATTTATAATATCAATATCATTTCTGTTTGTTATGAAATAAAACTATCAATTCCAAGAAACAATTTTAATATAATTACGCCAATGAAAGTAACATCAATTGTAACAGTAGTTAATTAGAGACAAACCTTTACCAAAAACATTTGTAATAAATCATGTGATTCCACAATTTGAGAGCAAAAAATGATATTTATTATTGTATTACAATTTTTATACACAACAAATATATTTTTATATTCCCATCGTTGATGTCCGTGTAAAGTTTGTAAAAGCCAAACGAATGGATTGAATTAAATAATTTGCAGTATTATAAATGATCGATTCTATTTAGGATATTTTTATTAAATGTGTATGTTAACCCTGTGGTACGGATTCGTTGGACATACTTTTTTCAAGCGAGGCGTATCGATTGTAAGAATAGGCCACATGACAACGTCCATGGGCGGCGGAAAGGTAAAAGTGCCTTGGTATTAAAATTTATCATTCCTAAATCATTTTCATAGACATAGGTCATTGCAGCTTTCACGTACATAATCGAACAAACACATCTACACTCAACGACCAAAGATAAATTAGAATAAGCAAATTTAGGTTAAAGTAAAATTTTTAGTTTTGCGCAACGGCAACACTGTCACACACTCACAATTTGACAAAGCAACTACGTTCTAGTCCGCACACGTGCACAGCCGCCGCAAACACGCACGTGCCATACTAACGCTCTCCAAACACATGTTAATTATAAAATAAATGTATTTTCTTATTTTTCGCGTGTTTTATTTCCTTGGCTGGTTCGTCGTGTCGCAGCGACAGCGCTCGGCGACGCGCGACTGTGACGTCACATGCGACGGTGAGCAGCGACCGTCGCCATCCTGTGCAGGTCCCTCGCAGGGACGAACAACATTACTATTTTGCTGCGAAAGAGAATATTATTTACAAAAAAACTTATCCTTTATTACTTAACACCTTATGGGCCATGACTCACTTAATTCAATAAAAAATACTTGTATATTTTTAAATACTTGTATTTTTTGTGTGTGATCAATGTGACTTAATCATGGTGGTAGGACCTCTTGTGAGTCCGCGTGGGTGGGTACCACCACCCTGCCTATTTCTGCCGTGAAGCAGTGATGCGCTTCGGTCGGAAGGGTGGGGCAGCCGTTGTAACTATACTGAGACCTTAGAACTTATATCTCAAGGTGGGTGGCGCATGTACGTTGTAGATGTCTATGGGCTCCAGTGACCACTTAACACCAGGTAGGCTGTGAGCTCATTCACCCATCTAAGCAATAAAAAAACATCTTCATGGTGATTATGAAGAATGGGACAATCTTTATTATACAATACAGACACAGACCTCGTGTGTCGTGGTGCGTGATTGCATGCATGACGTTGAGTCAATAAGCTTTGGTTACCCCTCGCCAACAAGCGCGTTCACCCAGTATTAAGTAAATGTTTGTCTGACCGTCGAAGTCCTTCTCTGCAGACCGTTAGCTGGGCCCAGTCGCTTGTATTCTGCCACCGATTCCACATTCGGCTCTTCGTTTGGCGGTTTTGAAGTATTCACCTAAAAATATCAAATCAAACAGCATCATTGGTAACGTAGGCAATTTGTAAATTGAGCAAATTGTAATTTTGTTGGGCGACGTCTAATGTCGGCACGTAGTCCTCGCTCTGCCGTGCGTTCTTTATCATCATTCCCAATACAACCACAGGTTTCGATTTGACTTCGAAACTCTAATTCTTGCTTTGATTCTCTCATCCTTGCCGGATCTTCTCAGTGGGTCGTGTTTCTGATCCGGTGGTAGATTCAGCGAAGCACTGCTCTTGCTAGGGCCAGTGTTAGCAACGCCTCCGGTTTGAGCCCCGAGAGCTCACCTACACGCTAGAGTAACGCTGATATAGCTCACTGAAGGCTATCAGCATAAGTTCAACGGTAGGCAGTGGCTTGGCACTGCCCCTGGCATTGCTGAAGTCCATGGGCGACGGTAACCACTCACCATCAGGTGGGCCGTATGCTCGTCTGCCTACAAGGACAATAAAAAATAAATAAATAAAAGTTGCAAAAACAAACAAAAAAATGCTTTGAATTGTACGGTAGGTGTGAATTCTTAAAGGTGGAAGCATAAAGTCGCATATTGATTATTTTAAAAATTCACATTGAAAATTCAATACCAAATTCTAATAGAATCTAATCTACTACTAATACTACTCTGTTCAGAAAGTAGCGGGAAAAGATCAACAGTACACCAAATGTTAGTTAATCATCCAAATTTATTTTATCATCTACAAAGTACCTATGCTCTTTCACAAAAGATAAACTTGAGTCAACGACAATTTTATTTGTCTTTAATTAAATTCGTAATACACATCAGTATGATTCGACTAAAAATAGCACTGTATTTTTATCAAATGAAAGATGCAACTCAAACTCCGTAGCAAATGGAGAACACTTGTGCCTATCTAACAACAACAAAAATAGTTTGGAACCATAAACAAATATTTCAATCTCTAAGTAGACATTTTAAATATGTAATCTAAAAGTTTCCCAAAAATTCAGAAAAAGAGATTATTGCAAAAAGTAAATCTGATTTTATGTGCCTATCTGATTTGTGAGCTGTAGTATACCTCCACTGGTTCCTGAAGGCCATGTCTCCGGAGGGGCGGCGCCAGAGCGGGGAGGGGCGCGGGCGGGGCGGCGGGCGGGGGGTAGTGCGCCGCCAGGGACGCGGGTAGCGCTGGCAGCGGGTACAGGCGGCGCATGCGGCAGTAGCGCTGCCGACCATGGGTACTTACTCAGACTTATGTGGGTTGATGGGTAGACTATATTAAGTTCGACTTCCAAACGCTTTCGGAGACTTCCTCCAATCACAAATAAACGAAGCAGGAGTATCTGATACATCATCGATAATCGAAAATGATTTTTCCATTGAAATACTTGTACATCCTAAAGCCAGTGGCTAGACTGGTGAATGGTCATAGTCGATTACTGACATCAGCAGTGTCATCAGTACAGTTAAGCTTTTGCCATCGGACCATTTAACGACTTTGGTAAGCACCTTAGTCAGGTTTTATTATTAACTAGCTGTACCCGTCCGTTTCGCTGGGCATTTAAAATTATCATTATTATTTCCCACCCCCACAAAGATGCATCATTAACGCCCCCGCAACTGGTGTAGGGAGTACAACACTCATATAAATAGGTATTAGCTTATCTATTAAGTACATGTAGTATTTTCTACATAGATACCAAGTTTCAAGTCAATCGGATGCACAGTTCAGTAGTTATAACGTTTTTTGTGTATCGTCAATGCAAAGTAGCCTATTTTTTTAAAATTAATTACAAAATAAAACGTCTAAGTTCTCACATCCACTGCCTTTCTGATAGCATAGTCAGGTCTTCCGTTCTGCTGCGCCTCCAGCACGAGGCTGGCGGCGTGCTCCAGCAGCTTCTGATCTTCCGCCCTCATGTTCTGTTCGGCTAGCTCCCCGTAGAAGTAGCGGGTGTCCGCTAGCTCTTGAGCCTCGCGGTCCGAACGCTCTTTCTGACGATTCGTTACAAAGACCAAATTGAGCAAGATGTGATGATTTTTCGTTTTTTTTATGCACTGACAAACATTTTTTATTGCTTAGGTGGGCGAGCTCACAGCCCACCTGGTGTTAAGTGGTTTCTGGAGCCCATAGACATCTACAACGTAAATGCGCTACCCACCTTGAAATATAAGTTCTAAGATTTCAGTATCTCAGTTACAACACCTACCGCACCCTTTAAACCAAAACGCATTACTGCTTCACGGCAGAAATAGGCGGGGTAGTGGTACCTACCCGTGCGAACTCACAAGAGGTTCTACCACCAGTAAAATCGGTGATAGGCTCAAACGGTGGTATCTGATCATTGTCAACGTCATCAAAAATATCAAAACCTAAACCGTCAACAGGGCTCCGATCAATAATTATGAGTGCTCAAAGTACGGTATGACACCCATTGTTTTTAATTTTTCATTTTTTGTTACTGACGTAATTTGTAACAGTTGTTCTCGACTTGGCTACCACAGCGATAAAACAAAGCAATGCTGTCCTGAGAGCACCCTAGAACGATGGCGCGGCTGGGTGAGACTATTAGAGCTAATTCTACCGTCAAACAATCATTCTTCCCGGTTTTAAAGATAAGAATGCAATATTGACTTCAATCATGTATCACAGTCAACAGCGTTGTCATTGTGTATGGGCTACGGTAACTGCTAAACACCAGGCACGTAGCAAACTCATCTGACCCGTCTTTTATTTACACTAGGGCACACAATTTTTTTAAGCTATTACATAGCTTTTATCGTGTGCTTTGAGCGCGCCGACCAAATCAAGAAATTCCGTAACGAAAATAAAACCTAACACCCCCACTCCGCCTGCCATGTACCTCGCGTTCAACACGTTCACACATTGCGCTTGTGAATAAGCACGCGGCGTGACGTCGCACTGCATGCGCATCATGAAAAGTTCGCCCATCTCTCTCTCGCGCGGTCTAGCTTATGAGTGTGAAAGGGACAGTTAATGTTTTGATTTTGTTAATGTTCTGTCTTATTTTATTATTGTCTAATTATAATTGCATACCTAAGTTGATAAAAAATGCTATGCCGCGGCAGTCCGAAGTCGTTGTGGCCTAAAGGATAAGACGTCAGGTGCATTCGTATGTAGCGATGCACCGGTGTTCGAATCCCGCAGGCGGGTACCAATTTTTCTAATGAAATACGTACTCAACAAATGTTCACGATTGACTTCCACGGTGAAGGAATAACATCGTGTAATAAAAATCAAACCCGCAAAATTATAATTTGCGTAATCACTGGTGGTAGGACCTCTTGGGAGTCCGCACGGGTAGGTACCACCACCCCGCCTATTTCCGCCGTGAAGCAGTAATGCGTTTCGGTTCGAAGGGTGGGGTAGCCGTTGTAACTATACTGAGACCTTAGAACTTATATCTCAAGGTGGGTGGCGCATTTACGTTGTAGATGTCTATGGGCTCCAGTAACCACTTAACACCAGGTGGGCTGTGAGCTCGTCCATCCATCTAAGCTATAAAAAAAAAAAAGTCCCCGAGTGTCACACATGTTTTTTTTAGGGCACACAAACATTTTTTTAGCGTTCAAGTTTTAACTGAAAAATCATCGCTTGCGACAAGAGCAACAATAAAACATTTTACTGAATGCGTTCCACCTCATTACTCTGTGACGGATGTGGCACTAATAGATAAGGGGTACAAGAGCATTTATCACTATGTAAATGAATATCAAAGTTTTATTTTATGTCAAAATATCTAGGATGGCGTCGTGAGACTTGTTGTTCTGAAACAAGATTTGTGATGTGAACAAAATGTTGTACACGTACCCATAGCCTTAAAATGTCCTCTTTATATTCCTGAGTCTTGCGAGCTTTTTCTTGACGCTTATTTTCATTGAATTCATGATACAACTCTGCGTTTTTGAACCTGACATTGAAAAAACGATGATTAACGAATACAAGGTAACTTGTTAAGAAGAGGCACGGCTCGATCGTAGGTGCTGAAAAGGGCCGCATTTTAGATAATTACTTTACTAACCTAAATAAACATTATTTCATTACTTAAACGACAAAACTGAAATACAAAAGGTAATACCTAATTATAGAAATATTATTTCTGAAAATAAGGAAGCCTCAAATAAATATTGATAACTCTAGGATATAAACTCTATTTCGGTGTTAATGCAAAAGTGAAGAATGGAAGGTTCTGTGCTCGCCTAGTGTTAAACGGCTACCGGGCACCCTGTACCTGTACCCCGCAACATACCTGTGACCGCTCGCTCACACTTGAGGTAGAATTTTCAATAACTCGGAACAAATGTATTTATATATTTCTCAGCAAAAATAGACTTGGATTGTAGTTTCTAAGCTCTGATTTTTTGGGCTATTCTTCTCTTTGTGAAACTGAATTTCGATTTAGTGATAAAATCATTACTATGATACTTGGAGATATAAATTGTATAGATCTTCTTTGATACTTTTGCCTGGTCTTCCAGCATATGTTTTAGTTAGTATTCTTAATAATTTAGTATGACATGAATCAGGCGACCGATAATGTTAATAAGTTCAAGTTAGATACGATAAGGTCCAAAGGTCACAAAGCAAATACTTGGGAATAATTCCCCACTGTAGATTGTTAGCCTTCCTTGTTTTTGTTGTTGTGTGTTGTGGTTGTTACATTCCTTGATGGGAATGTTCCCTCAAAGTCTGCCTTTCAAATACCTATTCATGATCTCCCACTGTCGCAATGTGTTGAAGTCCTGTAGTCTCTTTTCTTCGTCTCTGAGGAACTGCTCCCGCGCCTCTTGACGTTGTTGTCTGAATTGCTTCTGCTTCTCAATGTCGGCACGACGACGGGCTTCTTCCCTGTGCGGTTTTTAAATTAGCAGCGTTACAACTAGGTCAAATTCAAATTCAAATTCAAAATCATTTATTTCAACTTGGATGTCATCAAAAACACACTTGTTGAATGTCAAAATGTAAAAGAAAATGTTAACTCTACCACCGGTTCCAAAAAAAGCCACAGTCCTGAGAAGAACCGGCGAAACAAACTCAGCGGGTTTTTTTTTTTTTTTTTGTATTTTCTCAACTATTTTCTTTTTTTTTTTAAACAAGAAAACATATTTACAGGATACGAAAAACAAGTCAAAAAAATACAATTCAAATAAATAATAATAATAATGAAAAATGAAAAGGCCAGGAGCGAACGCCTCATTCCCACGTAGTTCCATCTAGTAAAAATCCTTAACTTTATAATATGCCTTGTTGCACAAACGTTCCTTGACAGTTTTCTTAAATCTATGAACAGGTAGTAGTTGAACGTTTTGTGGGATCTTGTTGAAAAGTTGTACACCCAGCCCCCTGAAAGAGTTGCTTAATTTCTTAATTCGAGCCGCCGGCAACGCATGTCTATGTTTGTTCTTAGTGTTCACATTATGCAAATCGCAGACTCTGGGGAATTCTACAATGTTTTTACGCACGTACAATAAATTTTGAAAAATGTATTGGGACGCTAAAGTTAGAATTTTGATTTCCTTAAACTTGTCCCTCAAGGGTTCCCTCGGGTGCATATTAAGAACCGCGTTAATAAGATTCCGGTAAGTGGACTGCATGCGGCTGTTTCAAATCGTTATCAGAGGCCCGGAACAGTACCACTGGTCATCGTTCTCGCCGAACCCGTCGCTTGGGACGAAGGGTTCGACGAGTAAATTAACCCACAGATACAGCCCACTGTGTTTCTCGCCGGATCTCCTCAGTGGGTCGCGTTTCCGATCCGGTGGTAGATTCTGCGAAGCACTGCTCTTGCTAGGGTCAGTGTTAGCAACACTCCCGCTTTGAGCCCCGTGAGCTCACCTACTAAATCTGGGGATCTAGAATAACCTCTCGAGGTTACTAGAAGAGGTAGGGGAAAAAAGGCACACTACAGCGGGAAAGTCTCTACCCGCTACACGATAATAGCTACCGATATTCGGAACTTTAAATTCCTACGCATCCTGTTTTCTGATTAAGTTTATTATGGGATCTCAGAGTAGCTTTTCCTTTATTTCGAAGTTTTTTTAGTCGCCGCTGTGGATTCGGATTAAACAAGAGTGAGTGAGAATTGAAAATAAACATAATTTAACATGCAGTAAAAGTGGTCGCGAGAGAGCTGCTACTAGTAAAAACTAGCTGAAGAAAGCGTTTGCCGCAATGATGTCCATGTTATGATTTCCAGAGGCAATTGACACGTCAGACAGATGGTCAGATGCAAAATTACAAAATCAACTACAACATAAATACATTGTTTTATTGCTGTATGTAATAGACAGACGAGCATATCCACTTGATGCTGAGTGATACTGAGTAATGACAGGATCGCCGACGTTGCCTACCGCTACAAACCTCGTTTATGCTGATAGAAGCAGTAAAAGCAATGTGATTATTTTAATAACTCACGCATCAGATTTTTCTTTGATGGCTTTATTCAAAATGGCCTGTTCGTGCTGTTCCCGGGCTGCGTCCCCGGACTCCAGGCGCTGACTTATTTTCTCCAGCACTCGCAGCTTCTCGTTCTTCACCTGCGACAGAGTTATTCTTGTTGAAATGCAGAGTGTGAATTGCAAGATCCCTATTAAAATAAATATGACGTGTGCGCTCACTGTGACGTCTTTGGGGAAAGCGAGGTAGGTATTCATCGACAGGCTAAATTGCATAGATGGGAGGACGAGCTCACAGCCCACCTGGGCTTAAGTGGTTACTGGAGCCCATAGACATCTACAATGTAAATGCCGCCACCTACCTTGATATATGAGTTCTAAGGTCTCAAGTATAGTTACAACGGCTGCCCCGCTCTTCAAACCGAAAGGCGTTACTGCTTCACGGCAGAAATAGGTAAGGTGGTGGTACCTAGCTACCCGTGTGGACTCACAAAAGGTCCTACCACCAGTCAAAATACAATTGTATATGTTTTGTGAAGCCGCAACGTAAGTCGTAAATCAATCAGTCATGCTTAGACCTCGCTAACTTTCTATTTACACCTTGTTAATTATGTCTATGTAAATAAAATCAAGTCTTTTTTTGCCTACCTAAGCTGATAAGCTTTGAGAGGCTATATCGCCTTAACTAGTAGGTGAGCTCACGGGGCTCAAACCTGACGACGTTGCTAACACCAACACTAGCAAGGGTCGTGATTCGCAGAATCTACCACCGGATCGGAAACGCGACCCACTGAGAATATCCCGCGAGAAACTCAGTGGGCTGTGTCTGAGAGTTAATTTACTTGTACGACGAGAACGATGACCGGTGCTTGAAGTACCTAGAAGCACCGTTAGTGGATCGGGAGCATCCGAAATGACGTGTTTGGAGCGACGTCGACTGCTTTCCATTCTGTCCGCAGGATCGGGAATAAAATCAAGGATAGTTTACGTCTAATTCGGTTTGTGCTCGTCTCCGCTCAATCCTAGCCCTGGACCGCAGCAGCACTTCGAGCAGCTTGTCGTCCAAGCGTTCTCTGGCGGCTTGTTCGTGGCGACGCGCCTCCGACTCCTGGCGCGAACGCTCCATGTCCGACCAGATGCGAGCCTTCTCCGATGCTTTCTGCAATACAGCACCTTGTTATATTTATTGATTTAATATATATAACCTATACTAGCGACCCGCCCTCGCTTCGCTTAGGGAACTGTAATTTATTATCGATAACAGTATTTCTCCACTATTTAATGGATGTTATTATACCTCATATAAACCTTCCTCTTCAATCACTCTATCTATTAAAAAAAACCGCATCAAAATCGTAGTTTTAAAGATTTAAGCATACATAGGTATATAGGGACAGAGAAAGCGACTGTTTTATACTATGTAGTGATATAAAAATGAATTGCTGTTCGTTAGTCTCGCTAAAACTCGAGAACGGCTGGACCGATTTGGCTAATTTTGGTCTTGAATTATTTGTGGAAGTCCAGGGAAGGTTTAAAAGATAGATAAATATGAAAATTCTCGGAATTAAATAAAAAAAACAATTTTGTTTTTCCTTTGATGTGTCGAACGGATTCCTTTTGTTTGTTTTAAGTTTATTTTATACAAAAGTTAGGTCTTTTATTTATCGATTGAGGCACTCGTTTATATTTTAATTACGGCAGACTCAGTCGCCGGGTCAGCTGGTAATTAAAATATAAACGAGAATTTAACGCAGTTAAAAAAAAGTGAATAAATTCCGTATCTGTACTTACGAAATTTTCTTCAAACTTTTTAATAGCAGCCATTTGTTCATCTGCTTTTATGTTGTCGATCTTCTGCAGGTTCAATTCCGTCTCGTATTCTTTTCTGTTACGCTCTGCTATCTCGTTGGCTCTAAAATTATTAAAATTTAGTTAAAAAAAAAATATAGTCGTTATATATATGTTGGAGACGACGCTATGACAGAGCCTAGCCGATGGAGGCGCGTAGACGCCATCACACTTACCAACCAGCCTTCTTGAAGAGCGGTGCCTCCGTCCTAAGAACTGTCATTCGTTTTCGTTTGCTAACGTCAAGAGAAGATTGCTAAATTGTTTTAAGATAACAAACGTGATTGGTGTACTCAATATTTTTCTTAGCTCGATCACCCTATTCGCCCCTATGATATCTGACGATGGTGTTCATAATTGTGGCTTCTCCGACATATAAGTTTTTTATGCTCGAGCTCATAATTTACCTGAAGTTAAATGATTATTCGAGCCAATGGACCCTACGGTTTGATGGCCGCAACCCTTAACCTTAGTACATGATATCAAAGTCAGAATTGTATTGTTAAGCGACTGTAATACCCTTCAATCCGGAACGCATGACTGCTTCAGGAATAGGTAGAATGCCTATCATTACGATTATCGTCACCAACCTTAAAACTACTACCGTTAGATATAAGCCGTTCTAACGCCGGCTAACCTTAATGTCCGGATCTTCGCTGTTTGTACGTACCCTTTAAAAGATATAACAATTCTTATAAGAATAATATAACAAGCACTTCAATTATAAAGTCTTACTGCTCTGTTATTTCTTTCTGGTGTTGCTTGTTTGCGTCATATCTTCGCTTCTTTTTCAACTCAATCAATTCGTTCCACTGCTTTGCTTTCGCTATAATTTCATCGTCATTTTTCTTCTTTTGTTCAGCTTTTATCTGTCGCAGTTTCTCTTGAAATTTTAGTTGTTCCATGCGCTCCTTTTGTATAACGGTCTCGATTACGGAGCTTTAAGACAAAGTTTTTGATTTGTGAATTACGTGTTCGAATTGTCCCTTGTGGCATAAAGTAGATCATGATTCAGATATGATAGAAGTGTCTGATAGAGCGAAGAAACATTTGTTTTTTTGGCACAGTGTGGCCCGCGCTTGATGATTTGCTTCAATTTTTGGACTGGGGCCCAAAAATGGCTCTATAAATCTTTAAAAGTTTATATATCAAAAATACATCGATAATAATAATAATTCTGATGTTACAGACCTACTCTAGGGCATCTGAGTCTTTTTTGTCCTACCTACCTGCTCCTACTAGAATAGATTCCTATTGCTTGGATCTATTACGTTTATCTACATTGCATTTTTAGTATCATTTCTGCCAAATAGTACCTACGTAATTGTGGAAAGAACTCTCCTCCTCAGCTTTATCTGAACGTGTACTCCTAAGCGATATGTAGCAACTTGACTATACCCCTGCCATTACTGTTGTCCATGGGTGACGGTGCTCCGCGCGCTCAGATGTTTTATTTCTTTTGTGGGTGGACGAGCTCACAGCCCACCTGGTGTTAAGTGGTTACTGGAGCCCATAGACATCCGCAACGTAAATGCGCCACCCACCTTGAGATATAAGTTCTAAGGTCTCAAGTATAGTTACAACGGCTCCCCCACCCTTCAAACCGAAACGCATTACTGCTTCACGACAGAAATAGGCAGGGTGGTGGTACCCGCGCGGACTCACAAGAGCTCCTACCACCAGTAATTACGCAGATTATAATTTTGCGGGTTTAATTTTTATTACAGGATGTTATTCCTTCACCGTGGAAATCAATCGTGAACATTTGTTGAGTACGTATTTCATTAGAAAAATTGGTACCCGCCTGAAATTCGAACACCGGTGCATCGCTCAACACGAATGCACTGGACGTCTTATCCGTTAGGCCACGACGACTTCTTAAGATTTTAGATTTACATATTTTAGACGTATCGACAATAGCGCGTACGCTTATGGGTAGTCATTTTTATCATGCCCCATTATCATGCTATTAGTATAAGGTACATAATCAAATAGTTTATTATATGCTTTTTTAGTTTTAATTTCAAAAAGTCTCAAATCCGTACAGTCTCCATAACGTTTGACGGGGTGAAATTTTATTTTTAAACTAATATTATTTGTAGTAGGTAATACCTAAGTAAAAGTTTAGGCGCATCTTTGTTCTTGAATATCGTTTCCCTGGCGCTGGCCATCATCCTCTGTTGTTCCTCTTTCTTTTTCTTTATATAACTTTTGTAAAACTCGGCGTTGGCTTTTTCAGCTGCTTCGATTCTTTCACGACGGAGTTCTTCATTACGTTTGTTGACATTCTGAAAATTTCTTTCATAGTGCTTGTTTACACAGTGTAATATTGTACTTTGTGAGGTGTTAAAGGAAAACGTATTGTATTCCAATGTATTCCATGTTTAAACATGGAATACACGCAAGAATACGTTTTCCTTGAAATTGATTATTAATAATCATTTTAACCTTAGTTTACAGTTATGAAGAAGCCTATGTTTCTGGGTGGTCCGCCTTATTAGGGGGACATACGAGATTACACCTATGAACTATGTTAGATACTAAATGCTATGCTAATACTATGCTATGCTATAATATATAATTATACACACTTCAACAGTATAATATAAAAGAGTCTTGACCGTGAGTAATCCTCATTGCATACAAAATAATGCAAAAATAATCGGTAAGTGGTTGTTAAAAGGCCGCGCTGGCGGACTTTGTTATGTCACGTATTCCACATCGCATTATTGCCGGTGTCGATCCGATTCGACAATTGAGTTCATTTAATAGCTAAGATGTGTGGATGATTTTCACTGGTGGTAGGACGTCTTGTGAGCCCGCACGGGTAGGTACCACCACTCTGCTTATTTCTGCCGTGAAGCAGTAATGCGTTTCGGTTTGAAGGGCGGGGCAGCCGTTGTAACTATACCGAGACCTTAGAACTCATATCTCAAGGTGGGTGGCGGCATTTACGTTGTAGATGTATATGGGCACCGGTAACAACTTAACACCAGACGGGCTCTTCCACCCATCTTCTTCTTCTTTTTGCTTCGCTTTCCTCAATACTGAGGGTCGTGACCACCTCCTCACAACAGGAGTTTATTACGGACCACTCCATCTAAGCAATAAAAATAAAATAAAAAAATGAGCGTATTGGTACTACGGATGTCCTCTCCCGACCCGAGGATCTTAAGATCCTGTAATATCAAACGCGCTTCAAGTTTTCATCGTTCACCGTTTAGTAAGTCGATCTCAAAAGAATTTCTGCAGTTAGCCAGAATAAGCGCAATTTTACTGGTGGTAGGACCTCTTGTGAGTCCGCGCGGATGGATACCACCACCCTGCCTATTTCTGCCGTGAAGCAGTAATGCGTTTCGGTTTGAAGGGTGGGGCAGCCGTTGTAACTATACTTGAGACCTTAGAACTTGTATCTCAAGGTCGGTGGCGCATTTACGTTGTGAATGTCTATGGGCTCCAGTAACCACTTAACACCAGGTGGGCTGTGAGCTCGTACACCCATCTAAGCAATAAAAACATAAAATAGGTACATCTTTTTCACGGCAGTAATAAGTATTCACGTGCGTATACTTGTAATACATAATATAGTAATAGAGCAGCATCTTTTTACCTCTACCGAGTTCGGCCAAGACTTTGTCATTTCTTTGCTTTTAGAATCTAGATATTTAACATATTCTCGTCTGCGGACGACCTCGGGATCTTCCCGGTCGTGATCCGTCCATTTGACTATACGCGACCATTCATCTTTGTTTATTAAAATCGGCATTTTAAATTAATCAGAACATTGATTTTCTCTCAGTAAAACAAAAAAAAAAGTTCCCATAGCAACGCTTTTGAAGCACGAACGATAGAGTTTTATCTTTGTAATGTAATTTTTGGCAAAGAGAATATAATCAAGTTTCTGCGAAGATAATAATTAACGGTAAAGATAAACTGACCTACTTACCCTAAAAATAAGATACTAAGACTGTGTCAGTTTCAGATTTATTACAATATGAATTATGCGAGTGATACCAAGCCACTGCAATCTGCAACCTGGAACAATCTCAGAATTAGTTCCAGATTTATGCAATCCTAGCACGGGTGATAATTTCATTTTGTACTTGTATTATATTAAGTACGTGGGAAGCCGAGTTGTTTGCAAAAAGGTTTATCTAATTTCTATTAAAGTACTTAAATCTTAATCTTTAAAATCCTACTCGAACTAGTAAAATAATTTAAATTTTAGATCGTTATATAAATATGACGAAGGTTTATAGAATAACATAGTTGAAATGTATAAATGTGATTGAATTATAATAAATTTATTAATAAATATTTATACAGTGAAGCTCTCTTTTCTTCGTAGGATAGACCTAAGAATTTCAATTATTATTCTGTCATAATCTGTCAACGGCTTATTATGGATGTTCATAAAAAGAAATGCACTGATCATCTTACCATGTTTTACATCGTTGCATTGCAACAAAAAAACATCGATCTTTTTTAAGCACAATATTGTCGATATGGGCATATATCATCACTATTAATATAATTTAAAAAAGTAAAAAATGTAGTATTCGTTTATTAATCCTTATGCTTACAGATATTATTGATATTATTATTCATAGCTTTACTTATTACTGATAACAATAGTATATTTGAGTAGAGTTGCATTAGGGTAATTTTGTATAAGCGATAGGATAAAAAAGCGATCAGAGGCAGTAAGGGATTCTGATCTCATTCGAAATTAGAAATGTTATCATCTAATTTTTTTCAGTTTTAAAACTAATGTATGTGTGCGAACCATTTGACGAATAATAAGCATCGCTGCTTTCGATGTATCGATTTAAATCGGGCAATGCCCAACAATAAACAGATACTTCATCAACTTCATCTGACAGTCAATGACATTAAGGAAATATTTACGTCAGCCACGTTGGAAGTGCCAAGTTGGTGTTTTTATGGTAAAATTTAAAATAATTAAAAATTAAAGAAAACCACGAATTCCAAATTAAAGAGGATTTTATTACTTATCTGTTCAATAACGATTGTAAACTTTTGAAATTTTAATAACTCAGTAATAGCCATTAAAAGTGTGACATAATTAAGGAATAAAAGAGATCAAAAGAAATAGCTATTTGTGTGTTTAATATTCAGTGAGATCGTGTCGTCAATATGAAACTGAAGGAGTTAAAGAGGACTGTGAACGTGAGCTGGTCCCCGGCTGATCATCACCCGGTAACGCTTGTTGCCGGCTCGGCGGCCCAGCAAGTTGACGCGTCTTTCAGCTCAAGTTCATACTTAGAACTGTATTCGTTGAATTTAGAAGACCCTAGTTATGATTTGAAACAGATATCCAGTTTGCAAACACAACATAAGTGAGTATTTACAAAGAAAATAATGTTTGACTAGAAACCATGGAGGGGATAACAGTCTGTAAATTAATGAAATAAGAATCCTAAGATATCTTATATGATATTTGACGCTCTACTAAGAGAGTAGTCTAGTTCCTTCTATTTTCCATAAACTGCAAATGAGAAATACTGTCTATCTCATTCAGCCAGGCCAAAAATATGTCAAATTTAATGTGTATATTGAGTTATTTGTTGGAAATGTCATTTTGTATTTTGTCATATAGTCTACTGTAATTTTGAAAACAATTATTTGGACTAAAGTTCACAGTAAGAATCCAGAACTTCTTTATTAGTGAACTAGATTGTTGATTACGATGTAGAGTTCGACGAGTGAACTAACCCATAGACAAAGCTCACTGAGTTTCCCGCTGGATCTTCTCAGTGGGTTGCGATTCCGATCTGGTGGTAGATTCTGTGAAGCATTGCTCTTACTAGGGCTAGTGTTAGCTAATTCTCCCAGGTTGAGCTCGTAAACTCACCAACCCGTCCAGGGGTAGCTGGAATAGCCTCTTACGCTACCAGCGAATAAGTAGGGGAAATGACCAAAATAGTGAACTATAAGTTTTATTTTAAAATTTGGTTAATTTTGTTGTAGATTCCATAAGATAGAATGGTCAGGTGCCGGAATTATCATAGGAGGCTGTGATGGTGGATTATTAGAGTTTTACAGTGCTGAAAAACTGTTGAACAATGCCAGTGATGCATTACTTGGAAGCAGTACGAAGCATAGTGGTGATTAAATTTTAAATTTTATTACCTAAAATACCAATCTATAAAGATGTTGGAACTCCCATAAGTCACAGTTCTCAGAGTAATAACATATAAATAAAAATTATAAAAAAAAACTTTTTATTGAATTTTAATATACACACAAGTGTTAAACAAACAACAACAATGCTTATGTCACTTGACCAGTAAACCCTAAGATTTTTACAAATATGTACTGATTGTTGGTCTGAAGTTTCAGTGGCACTGTGGGTTAATCAAAGCTAGATATGTATCACTATATATGGTACTCAAGGTAGTATTTTCTAAAGATGGGTATTAAAAAATAGGGTAAAAAATAGGGATGGGTATTAAAATATCTTATCTAGTCTGTATAATCTAAAACCTATTATCATATCTATTCTTTCATTCGATTTTCTATAAATTCCTACTACACTTGAGAGAATTAAAGGTAACCATTGTGTCATCTAAACTAAAGAACTAATCATAAAATATCAAGTAGGTTGAGTCAAAAGTTAAATCTCTTATAAATTCTCACACAGGGCATGTCTCCGCATTGGATGTCAATCCATACCAGAAGAATCTGTTGGCCTCAGGAGCGTCAGAAAGTGAGATATTCATATGGGACCTGAACAACACAAGTCAACCAATGGCTCCTGGCACTAGGAGCCAACCATATGATCATGTGCAGGGCTTGGCTTGGAATCAGCAGGTTTGTAATGGCTGCAATCTGTTTGAAACATTCCTCTCCAGAATGAGATTGAAATTAAAAGAAATATTATAATTCCGTCCTAAGCATTTAAACATAATTAGTGGCTGTGGTTGTGAACAGAAACTTAATTTAAATGTCTTTGGTAATTATTCTTAAGCATTGAAAAATATTTTTTTGTTTCTTTTTGATTGTTAATTAAGAGATAACACACGACCTAGTGGCCTTGTGTGTGTGTGAGAGGTGACATATTTAAAACTGACAGTTTATTACTGCTAACATTTTCTATAAAAAAAATTTAATTATTATTCAGAGCTGCACACATGCATGTTGTTATGGAAGACCTTAGATGAGCTTCCTCGTCCTGGTGTGCACCTCGTATCCAAGGGGCATGATCTCTTCCATCCATTGATAAGCTTCTAAAAAAACTAAAAAACTTTACACAATTTAAATTGACCTGATTTGATATTAAATTATGGAATAATGTCGCAATATCTATCCTGCCGGAAGATATAAGTTTCAAGTCTACAACTAAAATTTGATTTTTATTTTAATTAATTTTGATTTTTATTTCAACAAAATCTTGCTTGCAATGACCCCGGTTAATGAAAGTTCGTTCCTTTGTACCTAAATATTTTTAAAACAAAATATTTTGACAAAATATTTTGACAACATATTTTGTCGTCGTCGTGGCCTAAAGGATAAGACGTCCGGTGCATTCGTATGTAGCGATGCACCGGTGTTCGAATCCCGCAGGCGGGTACCAATTTTTGTAATGAAATACGTACTTAACAATTGTTCACGATTGACTTCCACGGTGAAGGAATAACATCGTGTAATAAAAATCAAACCCGCAAAATTATAATTTGCGTAATTACTGGTGGTAGGACCTCTTGTGAGTCCGCACGGATAGGTACCACCGCCCCGCCTATTTCTGCCGTGAAGCAGTAATGCGTTTCTGTTTGAAGGGTGGGGCAGCCGTTGTAACTATACTGAGACCTTAAAACTTATATCTCAAGGTGGGTGGCGCATTTACGTTGTAGGTGTCTATGGGCTCCGGTTACCACTTAATATCAGGTGGGCTGAGAGCTCATCCACGCATCTAAGCAATAAAAAAAAAACCTCAGGTTTTCTTCAATTACTTACTCATTATCTCTTCACAGAATATATTGAGTCAGGCAAATAATTTACCACCATAAAGCAGTAATTATACAAGACTTTGTTTGATAGAGTATAATATTTTGTCAGGATTTTGCGAGTCATAGGCATAACTAAAACTAATTACGGTTTAATCTTGCGTTTTTTATTATCTATATATTATTTTCGACTTTCAAATACGTTGTCTTTTCTGAGATCACTGATGACGATTGATGGAGTATATTAAATTAATCACTGTCAAGATGTGGCCTTCATACTCTGTCCGATTTTTTTTATTGTAAAATAATTACTTTCAGGTACAACATATTCTAGGTTCAACGTTCGCGACAAGGTGTGTCGTCTGGGATCTCAGAAAAAATGAACCCATCATGAAATTAAGGTTTGTAATGCAAAGCTGTTTTTTTAGCCTGAAATAGCTATATAGTAGCTCTATATATAATAGCTCTCAAGGCTATCAGCTTAAGTAGGAAAAAAAAGGCCCTTGGTGTGTAATTGATGGCTCGATATTGTTCGGGACAGTGACTCCCAGTCCCGCAGCCGGTGGCGCGCCGTGAGCTGGCACCCCGGGGTCGCCACGCAGCTCTGCCTCGCCTCCGAGGACGACCAGGCGCCCGTCATACAGCTCTGGGACCTCAGGTACGGCACTTGCACACTACTCCACTACCACACTTGAAGTATGTAAGCTGTGTACAAATACATTACTACAAAGTCATTTATTATTCATGCCGTCTCGTATAAAAACTAATGTTAGGTAATAATCACTTGTATTCTAATTAAGAAAACATAATTATGTATTTACTCAGTTGTAAAAATTAAAGCAACCTGCCATCGTTATTGGGTAATATTTATCATTAGATGATCTCTGTGGCAACAGTACCCTTTTCTCAATTACCTTTACATTCTCAAGCTCATCCAGCCGCATCCAGGTTGTAATACTTATGTATGGGTTCGGGTAACGGTTCGCAGTAAATATAAAGGACATGGGCCATTTTCGGCCCAGCTACTCGTTCTCTCAAGGACATTAATGAAATATCTATAGAAAAAACACATTTCATTTTTACATACTTATTATAAAATTTAAGGGAATTTTAATGTTGGGATAATTAAAATTATAAATAAAAAGAAATTAGCATGACTAAGCTACATTGATAATATTGAGGGAGTTGCCATAGGTATCCCCATGAACAACATTGATTTTAATTTGTTTATAATAAAAGGGATACATAGTTTGTTATTTATTTAAACTTAATTTCATTACTGACTTTTTGGCGGGAACGCGAGAGTGAAGTTGTGTAATTTGTTTTATTTTGTCTATTTATTGTTTCTTCAGGTTCAAATGTGTAATAACGGTGGTTTATTAACTGTTTAGTATCTGTGAAAGTGCACAAATGTGGGAAAATGAACGTAACTTCTCGGGATCCTCCAAAAAGTCTACTGAAAAAATCTTAGTAAATGACCACCATTTTACTGAGATTATATTTCATGCCAAATCTTCTCATCTCATTTCATTTAATTTCATCCCAGTTGATTAATGTCTCAAATTAATCATCTTAATTTCATTTCACTCCATATTATTATTTTTCATAAAAGTAAGAATATAAATTAAAATAAGACATGACTTAAAGGTCTTAGTTACCAGGTCATAAAATTCCTTTAGAGAAATTTCATTACTCTCCTTGAACTTCGTTTAGTGGGCCGTGCAATGTACGGAGAGTGGCCCATGTCCTTTGGCCAATAAAAGTGAGGGGCTAGTTGAGTGAGAGGTGGCGCAGTAAAGTAGTGTTGTGGGGCTCGCGCAGGCTGGCGGCGTCCCCGGTGGTGTCGCTGGAGGGGCACGGCAAGGGCGCGCTGTCCATGTCGTGGTGCGCGCAGGACGCCGACCTGCTGCTGTCCGCCGGGAAGGACGGCCGGGTGCTGTGCTGGAACCCGAATACCACTAAACCGGTATGTATGCGCGCGCGCGTGTGTTTGTGTATGTTATATTTTTTTATTCCTTAGGTGGGTGGACGAGCTCACAGCCAACCTGGTGTTAAGTGGTTATTGGAGCCCATAGACATCTACAACGTAAATGCGGCACCCACCTTGAGATATAAGTTCTAAGGTCTCAAGTATAGTTACAACGGCTGCCTCACCCTTCAAATCGAAGCGCATTACTGCTTTACAGCAGAAATAGGCAGGTTGGTGGTACCTACCCATGCGGGCTCACAAGAGGCCCTACCACCAGTAATTCACAAGATTGACTTGAAACTCGGTATCCATTTAGAAAATACGTCATGTACTTAATGGATAGGCTAATATTTATATGAGTGTTGGATTCCCTAATAATAATGACAATAAATAATAATGTTAATTTTAAATGCTCAGCGAAGCGGGCCAGTACGGCTAGTTTGTTAATAAACTTGTTTTTTTATTTTTTATTTATGATTTTCTTAAATGCAAATGAAAATAAATGGTATACATCCAGTGAAACAAACAGTTGTTTATACGGTCGGTGGTATTAGATGAACCTATGGCTCATTTGATGACTTACCTGTGATGCCTTTTGCTGCAATTTTGTTTTTCAATCTGACACCGCATCTATCTTAAGAAGTGGCTACGAACCGCTCCAGTGGTACAGATGAGATAACTAGAACATATGGCACTGAAGGAGAACCAACCTATCTGCAAATCCAGAGATTAATTTTTTCTGTCCATATTAAATATAAGGTGTTTTTTTATAAAATAAAAATTGTAATAACACATTTTTCTGTGTCCAAGGATGAAAGGGATAGGCAATAGAAGAATTGAAATTTAGACTTTATTTTGTTAATAGCAGATTTTTTGGTCTGTTTGTTTTAAGAATTGGACTGTTTCGACTGAAACTGTTGTCCAATGGGAAATACTTGGTCTATAGAAGGAGTAGGCACGTGCCAGATACCAGATTGCTAGTTGACTAGGTATATATGTAGCTAACGCACGTTCACTATTGTCTTATGTCGATTTTTCTCTTCGATCTTCTTACTAAGACGCCAGAATATCTAGTAGACTCTGGAAAAGGCGTATCCGAAGATACTGAATATGAATCTATTCCTAAGAGACCTAAAAACTAAGAATTAAAAACAAAAGAAGGCAAAGTTAGGCAATCCAGACGTTTAGTAACAGAAACCGAAATAATTACTTCAGTGCGCCACGCAGGGCACCGGTGACCTACATGGCAATCAAGGTGTTAAAGAACTACATCGCGTAATAAATTAAAATATCAGGGCCTACTGTGAGTTTGCACCGCTTGTTGTCACCATCCCATTCCCTTTGGTGGTAAAGTAGTCACACACTTGGGTGTGAGGGGTGGGGCGGCTACCACTGTACGGTTGTGACGCACGCGGGCGGTCCCCCAGGGTGGCGAGGTGGTGGCGGAGTGCGCGGGGTCGGCGCAGTGGGTGTTCGAGGTGCGCTGGTGTCCGCGCGTGCCCGCCCTGTTCGCCGCCGCTGCTTTTGACCAGCGCCTGGCTGTGCACTCGGTGCTTGGAGGCGCCGCAGCTGATACGGTCGGTGCCATACTACACGCCGACATTACGCACCGACAGTACACGCCAACACTATACACCGACATTACACGCCGACACTACACGGCGATATTACACGCCAACACTACACACCGACACTACACACCGACATTACATGACGACACTACACGCCGACCAGACACACCGACATTACACGCCGACACTACTTTATGACGGACCACTGGTCGTAACGTAAAAGCAGTTTTAATTATTGCCATACTACACTACTAATTTTTTTTATTTTAATTTTTCTACTCTTCGTTCATTAATAATCAAAGCTTTTGGAATTAGATTTCACTATATTTGATTTATGTAGTCGGATCTAGAGATTTTAAATTATTATTGGTTATAAAATTTATAAATTTTCACTATGTTTAACATTTTTTTACGACCAAATTTTAATGTTTGAGATCGAAACTTCAAGAAAAACTTCGAGTACAGAAATATAGAATCAGTAAAAAGTGGTATGTACCTAGTTTTTTTAGGTTTTACCAATTTTGTAACGTTGTCAGTTTAAAACGAATCTTTATCCTCAGGTCTTTTGATAATACTAAATGAAGTAAAGTAAAACACGTGTGCCACCCTGTATCTATAATATCATCAAATTAGTACAAAATTCTTGAAGCTGTTTGTTTTCAACTGCTTGTTTATTTTTTATCGGGCTCAATATTACTCAATATACACGTAACAACCGATTGAAGATTCTACTTGTCATTACAATTGAAGACATGAGTGGATGAAGGGTTTAAGTACCATTTGTAAGATTTTTGAGTTTTTACTTTGTATTAAGGTGTTATGTACCTATAAACCATATTAAACCTTAAAACTCTAGGCTTAAAGGCTAATTTTTAGAAAATTTACAGATTATATCATAAATATCCCCTTTATTCACTCATGTCTTCAATAGTGAGTGTTTAGTAAGGTCGGGCTGTACGTGCCGGTTCACAGAGTAGTCAGAGTCAGAGCAACATCATGGACTCGTTCGGCGCCGAGTCGTTCAGCCAGCTGCCGGCCGTGCGGGGCGCGCAGGGGGCGGGGGGCGGCGCGGGGGCAGGCGCGGGGGCCGGGCGGGGTGCGCTGGCGGCGCCGCCGCGCTGGATGAAGCGCCCGGTGCGGGCCAACTTCGGGGTCAGTACCGCTGTAAAGGCGATCCAGGTCTTTGTCGGATTTCTTCTCCCATACGATGACTATCACTACATCATCAATTCACAGGATCTCCTATGGTTTCGCTATACAACTATTTTTCAGCTCATGTCGATTATAGATTGACCTGTATAAAGGCTACACATAGATAAGTACAATGAACAGAAAATATTGTTTCGTAATTAATTTTTAGTTAATTTCACAAATTCTTTAAAAAATTCGCAAACTCACGAAATTGGTCGATTTACTTAGGTCTACTCTAATTTTTACGATCACACTGCATTTCGTCACATGTCTCAAAAACTATTTCATCTACCAAAAATGCACATTTCAATAGTGATTTGGATTGACAATATCAGAGATTTAATTTCCCTTAACAGTGTGGGTGGCCTTGTACATACTATGTACTGGTAAACCTTTGAATAGAAGAGGTGAATATATTTTTCCTTATATTTTGACAGTTTGGTGGTAAACTGGTGACGTTTGAGAAGTGTCCGCAACAAGAAGGCGGCGGTCAGAGACTGGTGCACATTAGCCAGGTGCGTATGTATTAATAATATTAATTAGTTTATTTATTAAAATCTAAGCAAAAACTTTGCACCCTTTTTACGAAAATTGCGCTAACGGAGAAGTATGAAATTTACCAAACTTATATAGAGGAGTGCAGAATGCAGACTTTCTTTAAAAATTATGCATAAAAAAACATTAAATCAATATAAAAAAGAACATGACAGACACTACCATGTATTTGGCACACACACGCATATATATATATATATAGGTATACCCTTTTGTTTATTTTTAAAGTCTGTGGTCTAATTGAGAATAGATTAATATTATTTGTCTATATTGTAGTCTTGGCGAAATCTGTGATTATAGAAGTATAATAAATAGTCTTTAACAGTAGAACCTAATAATGTTCAAACTTATAATTTTAATTAATTATGATCGAATTCTGACCACTAGGCACCAAGTAGTTATTTTATGATGCAGTTGCCAGAGCCAATGGATGGTACATAGATAGCGCCGTCCGTCACTTTGACCCACAAGAGGCAGCTCACAGTACACTGTAACTAGTGATCACACGAATGCATATATTTTTTCACATATTTGTATTAACTGACATGACGTGTGTATTCATCGCGACAGCTGTCAGTCCCACGCGTGGACGCGCCGCTGTGGGAGTGTGGGACTACGGTAGCGTAGCGCCACCTAACACCGAGTTGATCACTCACATATTGACTTACTGCTAAAATATCTCGATTGGTTTGCGTACAAACCAAGTTTGTCAAGTTCGATCGATATTGTGCAAGTACCAGCTCCGTGGAAAGGATATGGGTACTCTTAAATATACTTTAAACGCTCTTCAATATTTCATTAAAACTTTTATTTTTTTTATTGCTTAGGTGGGTGGACGAGCTCACAGTCCACCTGGTGTTAAGTGGTTACTGGAGCTCATAGACATCTACAACGTGAATGCGCCACCCACCTTGAGATATAAGTTCTAAGGTCTCAAGTATAGTTACAACGGCTGCCCCACGCCTTCAAACCGAAACGCATTACAGCTTCACGGCAGAAACAAGCAGGGTGGTGGTGCCTACCCGCGCGGACTCACAAAAGGTCCTACCACCAGTAGGACTTGCCACACTAAACAAACAATAGAAAAGTGTTGTATATACGTTTCAGGTGGTGAGCGATCCGGAGATAGTGGAGCTGGCAGCGGAATTGGACGCGGTGCTGGGTTCGAGTCCCAGCCAAGACCCCGAGGCCAACCAGCGGCTCGCAGAGTACGTGCACCCGCAGGGCTCTTGTTCCATGTGACCTCGCTAGCCCCCGGGGGACTGTCACTGCTCCAATTTACAAATACAATAAAAATACCCGCTGTACATCATTGGGACAGCGTCGACGTAACGCCACTTTGAGGCGGCACGACACGAAAACCCTCTTGTCGTGACCGCCAGTAATACCCGACCCAGTAGACCGAATGGTAAACCGTCGACGTCGCCCTAAACGCGTCATTACGGATCCTCCTGATCCATTAACGGTGCTTTTAGGCACCACAAGCACCGGTCACCGTCCTCGTCGAACCCGTCGCTTGCGACGAAGGGCTCGACGAGCAAATTAACCCACAGACACAGCCCACTGAGTTTCTCGCCGGATCTCCTCAGTGGGTCGCGTTTTCGATCCGGTGGTAGATTCTGCGAAGCACGGCTCTTGCTAGGGTTCGTGTTAGCAACGTCGTCAGGTTTGAGCCCCGTGAGCTCATCTATATGTCAAGAAGAAGCTGAAATAGCTTCTCAAGGCTATTAGCATAAGTAGGAAAAAAAAAGCTGACGTAACACACACATAAACTGAAGTCTTATTTAAGAAAAATTGCTCTTCTTCACGGCACCGACCAGCGCGGGCCCGATGTACGCCTCCGCGTCGGCGCTCTAGGTATAGGGAGAGATCACTAACAGAAAATAAAGGGTTTTTATATAAAACTATGTATACCGTAAGATTGTCCATCTGTAAAAGCTACAGAGTCCGCCGCCAGTCAGGTGGGGGCGGACCTGGTGCTGAGATGTTCCCCCCGGCAGGTACTGCCGACAGCGGGGCGACGCGGCAACCGACCAGAGCGAGCGATACACGTGGTTCTTCCTGCGAGCCAACTTCCTGCCTTCCTTCCGGTCCGAAGTACTCAATCTACTCGGTGAGTCTGCAGGAACGATACCTACTCGTATTGTAAAATATAAAATCGCTTGCGCTCGGTCGCAGCGACCACTGACTAGTCGAGCCACAATCTGACGGCAAACGCATGCGCAATTTCAACTCGGCCGCCACGTCAACATCACGCGATCTCATTTTTAATACGCTTTTATTAGCTTCAGACGTATGTATGTTTGTAACGGAATCTTTGAACATGATTTTGACCCCCTTCAAAACGTCGGATTAACTCGAGTGGGGTGCTTTTCAAGATATTATGGAAATAATCCTTCTCCTCATATCTATTCATAAAATATTTATAACTACTGATATCATGCACTCCACGCTTTTTTTTACAATAATCTTTTTTACTTACACTATTTTTAATTCAAATTTATTAAGCTTTATTTTCTATTTTTAGTGGGATTTTCTATAAAAGCGTATTTTTTAAACTCTTATTTATTAAGTTTTATTATTGTGCAAGTTAACATTTCTCTTTTTATTTATCTGAACGTTGAAATAAACAATTGTGAAATGAAAAGCCTCTAATTCGAACTATAAAGTACACGTGAACTTCAAGTCACTCATGCACAAGCGTCGATGCTATTCCCCTCTACTTGGCTCTTGACACGATATCAGTCAGACCATGGGGCGATTCACGGGGAAGTAGCGCTGAGGGGTCAATAATAATAGCCGGGCGACGGGTGCTCCGACCTGCTCATGGTATATGGAAAGGACCCCGGATCCTATGTCACAACCGTAGATTGTAATATATTGCGGGCCATCCATTCGCAGGGTTCAGACAAGACGAGATCCCGTCGAAGTTCAAAACCCTGGACGTGTCTGGAGACGAAACGTCACCCGACTCGACCCTGCCGCACGTGGTGAGTGTCCGGTGGACCGCGCGGCCCCCTCGCTCCTATGGGGCACGAGGGGCATGAGGTTCCAAAGAGTTCTCCTAACAACGACTATTTAACGTCCAACGTAACGATGTCTTCAACCTTTATTTGAACATTACGTTAAAAGAAATAGTAAATGAAAAATACTTTTTAAAATTTGATATTAATATTAAAATGAACTAATGTAACTAAAGGTTCAGAGTGGAAATGTGTTGGCATTTCACTCGCACACTGCGTAACAATGTTAGTGACGTCATCAAACATAAGTATTTAGTTAAAATTTATTGCCTGCCATACATTACGTTTCAAATGTCCAGTATAATAAAATGGCAAGTTCGTAGAGAAATACCTATTATTTTGATATTGACCTATTTTACTACTAATAAAAACTATAAATTTTAATACATTTTTGCTCTTTTAAACCAATATCTTCAGAAGTATGTAAGTCTCGACTTATTTTTTATTGTATGTGCGCGCGTCTATCTATTTCTGGCACCAGTCCGAGTATAGCGAGCGAAACTCGACCTTAGACGCTGACATCAAGATTTAGATTCGTTTTATGTCGTATGTTTTCTATTTCGTTTTGATCGCAATGACGTGACCGTCCGTATATAGTGTACGTTATGTTCCGTGCGCAGGAGGGGCTGTCGCTGCTGGACCGCAAGCTGGCGGACGTGGAGTCGGAGCCCGCGGTCAGCGACGTGCACATACCCAACGGCGACGGTAAGTCTACTGAACTTGCGGTAACACAATCTTGCAAGTGTTACACTATGGGGAGTCTGATGTTGTCCCTTAGTTTTCCTGGTAACGGATACACAGGAGAGAGTGGGGGCAGTTTGTGTTCATTGTTTTGTACTTAGCAGGCGAGTATCATTAAATAGAAACTTTTGTCAACATTGGAAACAGCCACTGAACTAGAACTGACCACGAGTAAGGTAACGTGAAAGTGTTAGTGTTTGTGCGTAAGGTGGGACGTGCGTGCGTGCGTGCGTGCGGGCGGGAGTGCGTGCGTGTGTGTGGTGAGTGCGTGCGTGCGTGCGGGCGGGAGTGCGTGTGTGTGGTGAGTGCGTGCGTGCGTGCGGGCGGGCGGGAGTGCGTGTGTGTGTGTGGTGAGTGCGTGCGTGCGTGCGTCATATCAGAAATAAATATCGTAATTTGAGTTGTTCTGTAGATGAGACGAGCATGATATGCCGCGCGCTGGTGTGCGGCAACCTGGAGGAGGCCGTGGAGCTGTGCCTGGCGGCGGAGCGGGTGGCCGACGCGCTCGTCATCGCCTCGCTCGGTGAGTGCCGCCGCGCCGCCTCCACNTATAGTGTACGTTATGTTCCGTGCGCAGGAGGGGCTGTCGCTGCTGGACCGCAAGCTGGCGGACGTGGAGTCGGAGCCCGCGGTCAGCGACGTGCACATACCCAACGGCGACGGTAAGTCTACTGAACTTGCGGTAACACAATCTTGCAAGTGTTACACTATGGGGAGTCTGATGTTGTCCCTTAGTTTTCCTGGTAACGGATACACAGGAGAGAGTGGGGGCAGTTTGTGTTCATTGTTTTGTACTTAGCAGGCGAGTATCATTAAATAGAAACTTTTGTCAACATTGGAAACAGCCACTGAACTAGAACTGACCACGAGTAAGGTAACGTGAAAGTGTTAGTGTTTGTGCGTAAGGTGGGACGTGCGTGCGTGCGTGCGTGCGGGCGGGAGTGCGTGCGTGTGTGTGGTGAGTGCGTGCGTGCGTGCGGGCGGGAGTGCGTGAGTGCGTGCGTGCGTGCGGGCGGGCGGGAGTGCGTGTGTGTGTGTGGTGAGTGCGTGCGTGCGTGCGTCATATCAGAAATAAATATCGTAATTTGAGTTGTTCTGTAGATGAGACGAGCATGATATGCCGCGCGCTGGTGTGCGGCAACCTGGAGGAGGCCGTGGAGCTGTGCCTGGCGGCGGAGCGGGTGGCCGACGCGCTCGTCATCGCCTCGCTCGGTGAGTGCCGCCGCGCCGCCTCCACCGATACTTCCTGATAAGTTATTTCATTTAAAATCCCCGATACACAAATTGGTAATAATATCGAACGTTAATGAGAAGCGACCTTTTTCATGCGAATTTAACACCGGACCGCGCTTAAATATCACGACTTATCGTATCCAATTTATACGTGTCATCCAGTGACTGCTTTGTAAAATGTTTGTTCGACATAATTTTATTTACTTTATTAACTTTTGAATCATTTTAATTAATTAAATATTCAGTTATATGTAACAAAATTAGGCTCAGGTGACAGATATTGCATTCATTCTGTTAGCTGAATATTTGAACACGAAGAACATTTCTAGCCGCAGTAGTGTTAACGCGGGCAGTAGACGGCCGCACACGTGTTATTTGCTTAACACGATTTATTTTTAGGCAGCCAAGAGCTGGTGTACAAAGTGCAGAAGTACCACCTGAACCGCACGTGCGCGGAGCCGGTGTCGGCGCTGGCGGACGCGCTGCTGGCGGCGCGGTGGGGCGCGCTGCTGGCACGGACCGGCGCGCGCGCCTGGCGCAGCGTGCTGGCTGCGCTCGTCACGCACTGCGACACCGACGCGCTGCCGCACTACTGCGGTCAGTGGCCCTCAGCTGTGGCGGTGTCTTGATCGATCCCACAGATGAACCAACCCAATACTAAACTCGGTCTATCTTACAGAAACTTTAGGGGATAAGTTATCCAAGGAGTCAGATCCAGCTCTGGTGCAGGCCGCCACGATCTGCTACCTGTGCGCCATGAGCCCCGAGCGGCTGGCGCGGGTGTGGGGGGCGCTCCCCCCGCGCCACGCCGCGCCCCCCGCGCTCCTCGCGCACCGCGCCGCCGCCCTGCGACACGCGCAGCTGCAGGTGGGTGTCCCCCTCCCGCGTGTAACTTCTTCCTCAGTGTTGCTGAAATTGTTTCTTCCCAAGACCAAGACTATACCAAAAGAAAAAGACTAAAACCAAAACCGATTACGTAAGAACAATGTTGGAGAAAAAAATATAAATTTCGTTGGAAATCATGAGTTAAAATATTTATCATAATTTGAATATAATATACCTTTCTTATTGAAACAAAACAATTTTTGTATAATTTTCAATTTACATCAATGCACTTTCAATACTGAATATAAAAAAAAAACCCAGTATATTTGACTACTGTTTGGAAACGGAAAGTTTGTTTGGAACAAGAATGTTCGTGAACATCGAGTCGACATAAGACTCGCTGTGTATTATTATAAAAAGTATCAAGATTATCCTAATGTTGATCTTGTTCTTACTGTGCTCATCTCTGCCCCCCTGAGCTAGTGGGGGGTGCGGTGCCCACGGGGGGCCCGCGTGCTGAGGTATTACTAAGTGTTGGTTCGCCTTTGTAATGAAAACACTAACTTGATCAACAGTCCGGCGGTAAACTGGAGACAATACTGAACGAGTACGCGCTGAACCTCGCCTCGCAAGGCTGTCTGCAGAGCGCCCTGCTGGCCGCGCAGGACTCCGGGTCCGACGACCTCAAGCAGCGGCTGCAGAGGGCGCTGGGCATCACGCGAGACCCCGCGCACAAGGTACCCCAGCCCCCTACACCTGTCCGCAGTCTCCCCCGGACACAGCTACAGTATCTGTACCCCGGTGTTGTCGACAGGCCCGGGCGCCGGCGCACGGCGGGGCGCGCGGGTACGGGCGGCGCGATGACGTCACGGCGCACTACAACTCCGCCGGTAAGTGTGTGCTGCTTGTCATTAGATAAGAGGGGCCCGCGAGCTGCCGACCCCCACGGTGGTAAATGGCTACCGAGGTATGCAACGCCGCAATGTTCAAAAAATTTTAGTAAACAATATTTCCCAACAGTCCCGCCGCAGTACGATCCGTCGCCATGGCAGCAGTCCACAGTCTCAGCGCACCAGTACTCGCAGCCGCCTCTAGCACCCCTCGCTCCGCAGCCTCTCGCCCCCCAACCCTTCGCCCCCCAGCCCCTAGCTCCACAGCCCCTCGTCCCCCAGCCCCCCGCCCCGCAGCCGCCCCCGCCCGCGGCCCCGCCCCGCCCCGGAAGCGTCGGGCCTACAGCTGGTAAGTGTCCCACGATTTGCATGAAGTCGAAAAAATGTTTTGTTACAATCGTTATTCTATTCCTCATGAAACATTCAACAATGACATTGAGTTAACACATCTGATCAGGGGGGCAGTATCTATAATATGTTAAAATATGCGGTCTTTTAGTTGCTTTAGACATCGATATATCAATGTAAGTGTACACCCACCTTGAGACATGAGGTCTAAGTCTTAATTCAGGTAAATGGTAGAAATACGTCTGATTATGATCATTAGTTATGCGGACTTATATTACACCATTTTTAATATGTTATCACTAGTAATGTGTTTTAAATGACTTGTTAAATTATATTTTTTAATATATTGGTTTAATCGGTCTGCATATAATGTAAACAAGTACAATCAAAAATGAAATCGGACTCCGCTACGTATCTGGTTCCAGGCGGCCTCGCGTCGCGCTCCAAGTACCGGGTGGACCCGTCCGTGCAGCCCGCGCCGCCCTGCGCCCCCTACCCCGCCCGCCCCTACACGCCCACACACCCTGCAGTCAACGGCTCCTACTACAACCCTCCAGGCGTGGAGACGGGGGTGCCCGTGGTCCCCACCCAGAACAAGCCCGCGGCCCCCGGCTGGAACGACCCGCCGATGCTGTCATCTAAACCTAAGGTGAGCTGAGCGTACAACATGCTTCTACTTCGGAACAGTCGACGTGCCTGTGTGGGCCCCCGCCCCCCACACAAGCGCGAGGTGTGTGGAACCGGCTTTCCCAAATAAAAACACAATAAATATAGTAGCAAAGTTACACATACTTTAGGATGTTGTTTGAATTCGTCATCAAACATAAGTGCTCGGTGAAGCTATCAACAATCTCCGCCACAAGCGCCTGGCCACAGTGGCGCTAGTCGCGAGTGGCGTCTACCCGCACCAGGCACGTGTATATTCTCAAACATGTGTCGGCCCCTCGTGAGGGCGGGGGACAGTAACGCTCGCTGTGCTGCAGCCGGGGCCCCCGGGGGACATGTCGGCCCTGCACGCCGGCACCCGCCGCTGGGCGCGCGTCAGGCTGCACGCGCGGCGCCCGCAGGTACACGCCACACTAACAGGGGGTCGGACAGCCTTACTGACATTGCGTGTACTTTGCGATTGAATACAAAACATCCAAAATTAAATTCTATTAATGTTGTACCTCAACGTCACTTAGTAACGGTTGTTTGCGAGCATAGTCAAGTTCATGTTTCGAAAGGGCAATGAAAAACGTATCTTCTTTTTCTCTACCTTATCCCACTAGGTGGCTTCAGCTTCTGTCAGCCGTCATCTTAACGCTCGTCTTTCTCTCATATCGTCCTTCACACACTCCATCCACGTCTTCTTCGGTCGACCTCTTCCCCCTATACTACCATTTCCATACATCTCCTAGTAGAAGTCGTCGTGGCCTAAAGGATAAGACGTCCGGTGCATTCGTATGTAGCGATGCACCGGTGTTCGAATCCCGCAGGCGAGTACCGATTTTTCTAATGAAATACGTACTCAACAAATGTTCACGATTGACTTCCACGGTGAAGGAATAACATTGTGTAATAAAAAAACCAAACCCGCAAAAATTCTAATTTGCGTAATTACTGGTGGTAGGACCTCTTGGGAGTGTCCGCACAGGTAAGTACCACCACCCCGCCTATTTCCGCCGTGAAGCAGTAATGCGTTTCGCTTCGAAGGGTGGGGTAGCCGTTGTAACTATACTGAGACCTTAGAACTTGTATCTCGAGGTGGGTGGCGCATTTATGTTGTAGATGTCTATGGGCTCCAGTAACCACTTAACACTAGGTGAGCTGTGAGCTCGTCCATCCATCTAAGCAATAAAAAAAAAAAACATGAATCTCCTCTCTCTCTCTATCTCTCTCTCTCACATGTCCATACCATACTAACTGTCCGTTCATTAATTTGTCAATCCCTGGGCTACTTTCACACTTCCTCTGACATACTCATGCATTATCTTATTCGTTCTTGTCACTCCGCACATCCATCTCAACACTCGCATCATTGCAATGTAAAATTAGAATTAAAAAGTGAAGAAACTCAGTATTTACCAAGATCTCGTTCGTTTGAATCTCAATTAGGATCAAGTAGTATAAGATTAGTATGGACTACCCATTAACTGCTCATTTGACGCTTTGGGTGTTTTGTAGTGACTCGCGATTTGTACGGTTTACATTGCTTACTAATGTGAATTCTACGTTAAATATTAACTGAGTTTATATTTATTTAAAGAGGCAAACACATTTAAACAGTGTCGACCGATTTTCTTCTTTACAGTTTAGTAGCTATTGATGTGATTTAAGATTTCCAATTAAAAACAAACGGATATAACTTGTTCCTTTTTCAACATTTCTATAACGAAACAAGTGAAAATGGAATGTATCAAACGAATCTAAACCTTGAGGTGTCAGTGCTTAAGGTCGAATTTCCCTTTTTCGAATACTTCAGTCAGATGTCCGATTGCCTGTTATGTGTTGTCTGTATGCGTGTGTGCGTGTGTGATCTAAATCCGTGAATTTTGCAAACTTTAATATAACAATTTGTTAGTCTCCTGTGGCCTGTACATCGCAGAGATTTGTCATTTTCGCAAATACTTAGTGTATATATAATGTGAAGTGTAGTGTCGGTAATGTTTTGAGTTTCCCAAAACTGCACAAAACAGCAACTCGTCTTCGTGACTGGCGTGAAGCGTTGAGTTCATTAACCTATAGTCCGGCCACTGCAAGAATGCATTTCTGACGGATCGTAACGGATCGTCTTGAGACGACGTCGATTTTTGGAGAAAAAATAAGTCATTTGTTCGTGTTGTTTGTTCAAAGCAACCAATTAATTATCATCATTAACGTTAACATGGCATAAATGATCTAATTATGGGCGAAATTCGGTGTTAAATCGATCACATTCTTTTAGCGGCCGGACAATACCATACAATAGTCGACAAAGTTAGTATTCTAAGTATTGGTGAATATTTACCTAATGACGCATCTAACCTGTGAGTTATGTATATAATATTCTAGGCAAAGTTTTGCTGAGTATGTAGTAGTAGACTTAAAATAATGAGAGGTGTAATAAAGGATGTTTAAACATATTCGGAAATATTCAGGTAATTGTATGATTTGTGCTGGTTGGTAAACACAGAAGACAATCTGGAATCAATTGCTTTCGGCTGAGACTAGCCGGGGTTCCTTTATTATTCTTAAAATATGTTACACAGCATGTTAAACATTTTTTTAATTAAATTCAAAATGAAAAAGTAATTTTCAGGCTAAATCGGAGACGCCCGTACCAGCTCAAGCGCCGATAACGCATCCGTTGTTCGGAGTGGAGCCCCCGCAGCACATACCCTTAGCCCCCGCACCCGGGCAGTACCCCGGGATGCAACCGGGGCAGTACCAGAGCTCACAGTTCCCGGCGGCACAACCGCCGGTCGGACAATATTCGATTGTACAACAACCAATCGGACAATATCCGGGAGGACAACAACACATTGGACAATATCCGGGGGCACAACAACTGGATGGGCAGTATCCTGGGGCACAACAGCTCGGTGGACAGTACCCTGGGGCACAATACCCGGGCGGGCAATACCAAGATCAGCAATATCAGGCTCAGTATCCCCCACAACCACCTCCACAACAATATACCCCTCAGGTAGGAATTATTTGCCTGTTTTTCAAAGAGAATTGATTTTCTTTTTCAGTTTTGTTTAGTTGTACTTTATAGTACTAATTACAATATTAAGCTCGTTTCCATCAGCTCCGTACTGAATCTGACATCTACGGAGGTTCAAGAATATTGAAAGCCGCTACGCTATCACACAAGTTTTTCCGTTCTACAAGATTGTGTTTTTTATTTACACATGTCGATTCCTCCATCAGTCTGGCTAGCTAATCAATTATTATTATTTGATTTTTAGCAACTTTAGTTCATTAGAACTAATAGTTCTTTAGAAGTTCATTCGTTCATTAGAACTAAAGTTGATTTCGGTCAATAACAAAGTCTATGAGTGAATTCTAAGATAATGTTGATTGGAATGTTCTAACATAGGCCTGTCTCCTGCAGGAGCCAGGCCTATGTTAGTGCACAACGCCCAGTTCTGTCGGCGCCCATTCCGTAAAGTGGCGCTGAAGGGTGGTGGTGCATTGTGAGCCCGCATGGGAAGATACCGCCAAGGTTATTGTTTCTGCTGCGAAACAATGATGCTATCCGGTTTGAATAGTTGGATTATACAAATAACTGTTAGTTTGGCCTCACGTCTCAGGTTGAATAGCAGCAAAGACGTTGATGTCTATGGGCTCTGGTTACCATTTAAGTTCAAGTGTAACGTAAAATCGTCTTATCTATTTAGGACAATAAAATAGGAATATGTAAGTGTGTGTAACGTGTTGTGATCGTGAGTGTGATGGAGATGATATTGTGCGGTGACGTCACAGGTGGAGCCTCAGCCCGCCCCCAAGCCCCCGCTGCCGCCCCCCCTCGCCGCGCTGCAGGACACGTTCGACGGGCTCCGCGAGCAGCTCGCGCGCGCCTCCACCAGCTCGGTGAGTGCCCTCGCACTGTGCCGTATATAGTCTAAGAGCCCGATATAAAACGACCTTCACCGAGATGTTTATTTAATAAAACGTATTTTATATTAAATTTAATATGCCAATAAATATATTGTATATGGATTGCCTATCAAATTTCAGTCCAGGATATGATTAATCTATCTATCTATCTTCTATATTTTATCTATCTATCTATATAAAAATGAATTGCTGTTCGTTAGTCTCGCTAAAACTCGAGAACGGCTGGACCGATTTGGCTAATTTTGGTCTTGAATTATTTGTGGAAGTCCAGAGAAGGTTTAAAAGTTTAAAAGTAGATAAATATGAAAATGCTCGGAATTAAATAAAAATAACAATTTTGTTGTTCCTTTGATGTGTCCCCCGTTGGACGGATTCCTTTTGTTTATTTTAAGTTTATTTTATACAAAATTTTAGGTCTTTTATTTATCGATTGAGGGACTACGAAGTCTGCCGGATCAGCGAGTTAGTAATAAAAAAAAATTTTTTAAACATTTCGCCGGTTTGATTATATTATTAGACAAATTCCATACCAATCAAAAGTATAAACCCCATAGAATATGCAAACATTAGGTTGTCTATTCTTTTCCCGTCAAAACTCTCGGGTAGCCAGGTATAGGCAGGTAAATCGATACTAGTACTACATTTTACACACGTCTGATTATTAAATTAAAGTAACTAAATTGGCTTTATTATTTGTAGACTTTTTCGAGCTACAGTTTTGAGAGAGTATTTACAAAATAGCAGTATGTCGTCTCAATTGCTTGATTGTATTCCTTTTCTTCTCTTCTCCATAGAATTTCTTTTGAACTGTTCATTATCTCTACGTTATTTTCAATGTCCACGTAGGAAGTCAATTCAGTTTGCAGCCTTCGACTTTTCTTTGTATGTGACCCTTAAATTTAGATTATGTCAAATTAAAACTTTTGGATTATTGGTCATAATGTAGTCGATTTCATTTTTAAAGAGTCCATTTGGGAAAAGTCAACGTCCATTACTTATTCTTTTTCCTTCTTGAAGAAACTATTTAAGATACTTAGTTTGTTTTCTAAGCCGAAGTTAACCAATTTTTGTCCGATTTGGTTCCTATTGCCATTACCATGTCTTCTGTCGGTGTACCACGGGTCAGAGTTCTCTTTCGTAGCCGGTCGGTTTGCATATGTTTGTGGTACGCATAATGCATTAGTATGTATAACTTTAACTCTTAATTCGGTCTTTGAAGTGAACAATTCTTTAGAACCGTTGTGAAATGCAACCCGATGAAACGGCAGAGCGACACTAAACAGAGACAGACATAGGAGGATAGTTAGCTTGTGAGAGAATGAGATCCAATACATCTGAAGGTCGCTGCTGTTGCTGTTAGTGAATTGTACATAATATGTTTTTTATTCAGCTCGTGAAACGGAAACTGGAGGATGTACAGAGAAGACTGGAGACCATGTATGACTTGCTGAGGGAGGACCGGGTATGTACTGGGGTGCCGTGACGGCAGCGACATTTGTGGACTGTTCTAATCGGAATGTTATAATACTTTACCAAACAGCAGTCCAAGCTTAACAGATTTGTGACTATTTATATTGTCGATTGTAAATGGTTGTCGACATTGCCCATGGACTTCAGAAATGGGTCACATGTGTTTATTTATTTATTGCACAGAAAGTTTGACGAGCTCACAGCCTATGTGGTGTTAATTGATTACTGAAGCCCATAGACATTTACAACGTAAACGGCACTCGCTTTGAGATATGAGTTCTAAAGTCTCAGTATAGTTACGACTGCCCTGTCCTTCAAACCGAAACGCATTGCTGCTTCACGGCAGAAGTAGGCGGTGGTACCTACCCGCGCGGACTCACAACAGGTCCTACCACCAGTAATTACGCAAATTATAATTTGGCGATTTTTATTACACGATGTTATTCCTTCACCGTGGAAGTCATTCGTGAACATTTGTTGAGTACATATTTCAATAGAAAAATTGGTACCCGCCTGAGATTCGAACACCGGTGCATCGCTTCAACACGAATGCACCGGACGTCTTATCCTTTAGACCACGACTGTGCCATTTAATATTTGCTATGTAAACGTAAGATATGGTCGTTAAATATGTGTGTGTATGTGTGTATGTGTGTGCGTGCAGCTGTCGGAGAGCTGCGTGTGTGCGCTGACGGAGATGTGTGCGTGCGTGCGCGCGGGGGACGCGGGGGGCGCGCTGCGGGGCGCGGGGGCGCTGGCGGCGGGGGGCGACTTCGCGGCCGTCGCCAGCTTCCTGCCCGGACTCAAGACGCTCTTCCAGCTCGCCGCCGCCGAGCACGCGCCGCGATAGTACCCTCCCCCCACCCCCCTCCTGCAACTAGAACACCTGCCTGCCTTTGAAGAGAAGTCCGGCGGCAATACACTGCATAATTACTGTTATCTTTAACTGTGCCCTCGAAATGCGACTGACGAATTCACCAAAGATGTGCCGACGCAGAAATCTCTTAGTTAACTCAGCTTAATGGCCCGAAAAGATGCAGCACGATATTTTCTCTTTTAAAAACATATTTACCTTTCCTTGTCAAATAGTTAAATAGATTCTAAATTTAAATCTATTTCCAAAAACAACTGGAGTCCATGATCAGACTGCTAGACCTACTCTTCCCTCATACATCTTCGATATTGTACGTGGCTATGTACTTGTGTTATTGTAAATCAAAATTGAACTGCTATTGCAGGGCTTGTTACATAATAATTTAATCAAGTAATTGTATAACCTTATCAATAAAAAATAATCAAAGTCGATTATTGAGTGCGTAATCGTCTTATCTTGTGTTATATTGAAACAAACAACTGCTAATGAAAATAAATATCTCTTATGTGATCAAAATCCATATTATATACGTATAATTCGTGTTATAGACACTGATGTAGGTTTGTTTGTCCAAGGGTTTTCACGCCCAGACCTACGAACTTGTCTTGACCAAATCTTGGAGAGTAATAACGGGAATCCAGGACACACTTTGTTAAGTGCAGTCGGGCGGAAAATTAATATTTTAATATAGATAATTATATTTACGATTTAAGTACCGTCTATGTTTAATACGAATTGCGATATCCTTGGAGCTAGTTCATGGTGTATGACGGTATCCCGGGACCACACTGCTGACGCGACTCCCATAGAGTACAGCTGACACCCGAGGTCAACGACCTACTGTACGTGTAAAGCAGCCTTTCTCAAAGTGGGCGATAACGCCCCCTTGTGGTCGCTGCAGGCTTAATGGGGGGCGGTGATAGATCCAGAAAAAAATGGGGGCGTTGTGTAGAGGCTTGGGAGGCGATTTTTAATTTCATCTAGGAGGACTCTTAGACACTGACTGAGCTCTCGCTATAGTGGTTTTTAAGTAGGTGAAAAAATGGGGGCGCTAAAAAATAATTTATTCTCAAAGTGGGCAGTAGACAAAGAAGTTTGGGAACCACTGATGTAAAGGAAAACTACCTTCTTTACAGATTATTTATACACATTAGAGGATAACGAAAAATAAACTTAATAAAACAATACATGAATATTGCTTACAAGGATATATTCATTGCGTGGTCTCGTGGGATGCCTGGATGTTAATTACGCATTACTTTCGCTTCCCTTTCGCGCCGAGTACTATATATTATTCTGTTTGAACTCTTTGGGTTCGTCTCGTGTCCAAACACATGAAGGGTGCGTTTAACGGGTGTTAGTTGCAGTTACTAATCCATTTTTGTGAATGTCATCATCTACTTAGTGAATTCACGTGATTGTTAATAAAAATACATGTCTATTAATTGATCAATTGAATTATTCATGAAAAAAATAATAATGTATAAAATTTAATGATTTAATAATATCCAGTAGGGGCGTTAACCTATTCTTGTGTGCAATGTCACTTAGTTAACAAATCCGTTCGCCTTATATATATCGCCTTTTCGCATTAAAAGTGTACAATTTCCAAAAATATTCGAAATTGAGTTAATATGCGTAAACATTTTGTATTACCAGTATTTTTCTCATACATACATAATGTCAAAAGAGCGTAGTTTAGATTTAGATATTTTTTTTGGTTTACCTATTTTTTTACTACTATTAACAAAATTAATACATAATTTTATATTACTTTAAAAACCAGATAATGTAACTGGTAAAAAATAAAAAAATAAATATTGAAAAGATGATTAGTATTAAAAATATCATATTATGTTAAACCTTTAAAACACTCCTGTAAAATTAGTAAGTTTTGAAATTATACAGTTTTAATGCGAGAAGACGATATATTAAAGATTAATATCATGTCATTGTTGTAACAGTGAAACATGCGCACGCATCTGCGCTCGGATTGTTCTGAACAGTTTTTGACAACCCTATTCTGCCATTTGTGTTTGTCATTAATTTGTGTAATTTCATTGTAGGTGCTGAATGTTTATTAAAACAATATCATTTAACGGAATTAAATTATAAATGTGCATTTAACTTATTGGTATTAATTAATAAATGAAATTGTATTAAGTTAATTTAATTTTAGTTTTTTTTTTTTTCTGAAAATACAAGATGTAGGTAATATAATATTACGCAGTACACTAAAGTTTTAGTTTTATTTGTAATTTCATTTTGATATGAACAATTTGACACAAAACGTTCAATTAAAAATCTCGCTTTTTGTGGCTGAAGAAAAAGTCAATACATAAAGTTAATACAGTGCAGTAAAGACGATGAAAATTATACAAAATATACTTAAATGTTTAGCTCAAAACGTGGCGTCAATTGAAATGAGTGTGGTCGCAGCTATGCTATCTAGCTCATGCGGATCTTTGAAAGGAAGTCATTAATGTTCATTATCACAACATTTATTTGGTCACTATCAGTAACGTTAAAGTTTTGTATGTCAGCGTTCTTACTGTTACAATGTGTCCTGTATCATTGTGATAACGGTACCACACAGCGAGGACCACGCCTATGTAATACCTGGATTATCTTATCGTGTGATTGAAAACTCAAGTCAAACAAACTCCACTGCACACGAACTTATGTACATATATGTATATGTATATATCGATTATTATCGATAAATGTTTTCTGCGAACAAAATAGATGATTGTTCGCGCTCTGTTCAAATATCGACAAATAACACTTCAGTCGTGAGTGTTCAGGAAAACTAAAGTATTTTCGTGAAAAATAATATATACGCGAAATTAAATCTGAATAGTTTTTTTTTATTAGGGCTGTGACAGTCGCAGTCGTGAGATAAGTATCGATGTCACGTGTTCCTTTGTAGTTCCTAAATCGTTTTTTGCTGATATTTAATTTGTCTTACTGTCTCACTGATTATACACCTACGCTTCAATCAACGGTAGAATTAATTTCGCAGTTTGATACTGTGGGCTCGTCCAAAGAAACTGCAGTGGAAATTAAGCATTTGACTAGTTCCATGCACTTGAATTATAAAGTTATCAGAACTTGTTTATAGAGAGGCTTATTTAATTCAGAAAACCTGATGACAAGAAATTATCTGTAGAAATTAAATACCTAAGTCTTTGAATTTATGGTTTAGTCGGACATTTCCACAATTGCTATTGTCGAGGGTTTTATTATCGACATATTATCGATCACTATTACAACACTGGGCGATTGTGAAGTTATTTAATTTGTTCATATCTAAATAACTCTTAAGGGCTGATATTTGAATCATCAGATAAACGTTAACGATCTACTAAATTATAAACCTGCTGAATATCAAAGTGAAACTACTGAATTATTTTATAGGTCAAAAAGTAGATTAGAATTATGCGCGTATTTTGTCACATTATTCTGATTTCGAATATAAAATGAGCCTTAAAATATGTTATAAATGTAATTAAAACATGTTACAAGTTAGTGCGCGTCATCATTTCTGTCATCGATATTAATGAGGTATATATATAACGTATATATTTATTTACAGTTTATAAAATTAATGTTATAATAATTTCTTTAGCTATAATTATTTTCTTTTTAATAAATTAACAAATCCTAATTAATATATTGTTTAAAGGCAAAGTTGCATAATACTAAATACTTAATTTTTATAACAAAATATATTTTTAGATATTGCCTTTGTGTTTTATTGATTTTTTAACTCAGCCAGAGGCCGGGAATTTACTGAGACTTCACTGGATTATTTAGGAGAATTCAAATTCAGCAGTTTTATTTCATTCTTTTAGCATTGTATTCATTCCCGATCCTGCGGAAAGAATGGAAAGCAGTCGACGTCGCCCCAAACACGTTATTTCGGATCCTCCCGATCCACTAACGGTGCTTTTAGGTACCTCATGCACTGGTCATCGTTCTCGTCGAACCCGTCGCTTGCGATGAAGGGCTCGACGAGTAAATTAACCCACAGACACAGCCCACTGAGTTTCTCGCCGGATCTTCTCAGTGGGTCGCTTTTCCGATCCGGTGGTAGATTCTGCGAAGCACGGCTCTTGTTAGGGTTCATGTTAGCAACGTCATCAGGTTTGAGCCTCGTGAGCTCACCTATTAGTTAAGGCGACGCTGATATAGCCTCTCAAGGCTATCAGCTTCGGCTACTTAATCGTTCAATCGTAGAGGCTATTACTACACGTCGAAACAGCGGATACAGACGAATAGGAGTGATGGGCAAATGCCGGAGTTCAATACCATGCAGGTACTAATTATTTATTAGTTAATTGAAAATGAGGTCAATAAAAGATATGACGTATTACCGAGTATTGCTATTCTGTGCCCGCACGAGTTTGTCGCTGTTATCTTGACTCTTACTCTTTCAAAAAATCAGAAGTAGTTCTGATTTTTTTGGTTTAAATCGTGGAATAGCTGCTATGCAACACGATTGTGTCTTCGGTATGATGATTGGTAGCGGCATCGTTATGAATAGTTTCTTGAAACCGCGTGTGCCTTGTGGAGAAATCATTTAAAGGCAATAGGAAAAGGGAAATCTGCTTAATGAATTACTGAATTTAAGTCGTCGCTGCCTAAAGGATAAGACGTCCGGTGCATTCGTATCTAGCGATTTAACGGTGTTCGAATCCCGCAGGCGGGTACCAATTTTTCTAATGAAATACGTAATTACAAATGTTCACGATTGACTTCCACGGTGAAGGAATAACATCGTGTAATAAAAATAAAACCCGCAAAATCATAATTTGCGTAATTACTGGTGGTTAGACCTCTTGTGAGTCCGCACGGGTAGGTACCACCGCCCCGCCTATTTCTGCCGTGAAGCAGTAATGCGTTTCGGTTTGAAGGGCGGGGCAGCCGTTGTAACTACCTATACTTGAGACCTTAGAACTTATATCTAAAGGTGGGTGGCGTATTTACGTTGTAGATGTCTATGGGTTCTAGTAACCACTTAACACTAGGTGGGCTGTGAGCTCGTCCACCCATCTAAGTAATAAAAAAAAATGTTTCAAATATGTACTGACTGTATTGCGCACAATTTTTCTACAACCTTATGTTTACGTAACCTTTTTTTGTCCATAAAGTGTAGGTACTCCATTTATTTACTCGGCGTAGTCTGAAAATCATCAAATTGTGTAGTTGCGTCGACAATTATTAGCGAGTCGAGTGGCGCGGTAATGGCGGCTTGAGTGCAGAGCCGAGGCAGGCCGTAAAATGCAACAGCAAAATATTGTGGAAATTCCCTTACTGAAAATAACCAATACGTATTTTTCACTTGTGAATTGATAAAGCAAAAATATTTTTGTTTAAATATAAGTTTCGCGTACAATCGCACGTCTCATCTGTTATTTAACGGCCCATGGACATCACAACGGGAATGCCGACACCCACCTTGACACATGAGGTCAAAGTCTCAAAATAAGTAGGTGAGTTTTTTATTATTACTTGGATGGGCGGACGAGCTCACAGCCCACTTGATGTAAGTGGTTACTGGAGCCCATAGACATCTACAACGTAAATGCGTTACCCACCTTTGAGATATAAGTTTTTTTTTTTTTTTTTTTTTTTTTTATTGCTTAGGTTTGTGGACGAGCTCTCAGCCCACCTGATGTTAAGTGGTTACTGGAGCCCATAGACATCTATAACGTAAATGCGCCACACACCTTGAGATATAGTTCTAAGGTCTCAGTATAGTCACAACGGCTTCCCC